TTATTCACAGATATACTATTTTTTTCTTGTGATGCTAGTTTTAATAGTTAATAATTCTAATAACGTAATTAAATTCTTGTAGTAGGTATATAAACAAGAAATCCAAAAAATATTTATGAACACTTTAAAATAGCAAAAACAAAATATGTCATTGTATGTTTATTCCACGATTCTGAAAATAGAACCACGTCATAAGTCAGTTTTCATCAAGTGTAGATATTTTAGTACATATTAGTGTTTGTATTATTATAAACTATATAATTTTATATTATTTTGTTTACTGATATAATTGTATACTATATTTTTTTGGACGTATTTGATCACATATTTGTATGAATCATACATAATAATATTTATAAACGATCTTCATGTCGTTATTCATCAGTGATAATTTTTTATCCAGTGGCAATTGGCCAGAACAATACTGTATATTATGTTAATTGGTTTGGGTGGGCCTTTTTATATAGGAATTCTCCTGCATAAATATTAAAAAACCATTGGTTCTCAAATGCGTGCACCTAATTCAATTTAAAAATCAAATACCTACGTGTATAGACTTATAATATAGCTACTTTTGTATTGGCTCATAAATATATTATATAAATAGTAGTGTTATATGATCAATACCAAATATTATACTCTGAGCCGAGATCTTTCTGTTAAGTAAAATAAAATAAAATACAAATTGTAGTGTAATTGTATTGTATTTGTACGGTTAACTGTATATCATTGTAATTTTTTAATAATTATTGCAATTTTTAAAATATTTGATAATAAACAGCAGATTTACTAGACATAATGTAGTAAATTAGTAGATGAATAGTAGACATAAAGTTATACAGGTTAGATTAGGTTTTATTGAAAATTTCACATAACAGTTTTCAATACCTAGTAGGTTGCGATGTTACAATCGAATCTAAATTTCTCTATATATCTCAATTTCATTACATGTTTTCAGTGCATGTAGTAGGTATTATTAATTATTTTGATACTCACAACCTATTTAATATTCCAGTATACGTATGAATATTCAATTACATTACATAAAAAGTGTTAAATAAAAATAGTTCTTAATTTATTTTAAGTTAAATTATCATTTACTATATATAATTAATAATTTGTAATTATAATTTGATTTTCTATTCAAGTAATTTTAAATTATATTTTTTCTATCCCGATTCATCACATAAATAACAAAGTACATATGTTATAAATCTTTAAAAAATGTTTTCTTTAAGTTTTAATAAAACTATTATTTTATTATATTTTTTTACGTTTAAATCACTCGAGAAAAAATATTGTAACTAAAATAATTGTACCTTACAATTTGTAAGTAATTTTTTTTTATATTTAACACATTAAATAAGTGATAGTCCAATAGTTAATACATAATTACTTTTAATAGCTATTAGGTACCGAATCATATGGTGATAATAATGGTTTACCAACGTGTAAAAGTGAAAATATAATCTCTATTGCTGCAGGCGAAAGATGCCACAATCGCGATGTAAGGTCATCAGGTATTGCATGAGGTTAAGAAAAAAAAAAATGTGATAGGTATGTTAAGAAGTTCTAAACGTGCTCTTTATTTTACTTAAAATACATTGTTTCGTGAACATATTTTTACTAAAATTAATTGCATAATATGAAATCTTTAATGTGAATAATATTTTTTTTTAAAGTTGTATACATTCAAATATTTAAATGCCATACTAATCAGAGTATTGAAAATAGTTTGTTTTACAGCATAGTTAATAAATATTAGGTTAGAATTTATAAGAGTCAGAATATATAGGTAACTTATGTTCAAAAACCAATGGTGTTGGCGTGGCTTCGCATTATAGCCTCCAAATTACTGCAGGGAGCGTGTGCGGAGAAAATATTTTCACTTATCTATATTATTATAATGCATTTAGATTTAACATCATCATTGTTCATGAGCGTTTTCGTTCTACAAAGCACATTAATTATTAACTGTCTAAAGGCTTCTGTTTTTATATTTAATTGCGAAAACCGTTACACAGCGTGATTTTTTTATTAAGTAATTTATTTATTATACAAAATTGAGAATATAAAAATAAATTCTGTAGTACCTATACATTATTTAATTTAGTTTCACTAAATTATTTTGTTATAAACATTAAATTGTATTTTTAGCCAAATTTAAAATAAAATGTTACTCTACATTAGTATATTCGGTGTATATTAAGTATAACAATATATGAATGAGAAATTAATAATTCTTTAAATATATGTATTAGTTCGCCATGTAGCACTTTTCTAATGTTTTTGTAACGATATATACATTATTACACCATGAAATTTAAAAAATGATCATACGCTAAAAAACACATTTAACCCAATTAAATAAATTTACCCTGTACTATATATATAACTATAGTTGACATATGTTAACATTAATTATTAATGTCAAAATAAAATATGTTAACTTATTTTTCTGTACCAATGTACATTAAATGAACAACAGTAATCACTTTTTATATTACTATAAAAACTCCACTCTTACTATAACTTCAGTTTAATCTCAATACAGACTTGGGCTCTGACTAACTACGTCCAACCAATATTTATAAAATTCAAAAGTAAATTGTTTAAATTAAAATTATCAAGTGTTTATTAGCTAATTTACATCTGAATACTTTCATCTTTTGATTTCGTTGATTTCAATCACTCTGTTATATTTTATATACATTAATTACATATCGTCGACTCCGAAAACCGCACACTTTTTTAAATTCTTGTAACCAAAAACCGCACATTTTATAATGATATATAATTTATTATTTATTGTTTATACTACATATTTATTCAAAAACAATTTATTGAGGTATACTGTATGTTGGTATTGAAAAATTTAAAATATAAAATTTAAAAAATAAAATAAAAATGTTTGTGGCTAAAATTTTTTGCCGACGTATTTTCAAAAAATTAAAATACAAATAAAAAAAAAAATTATCCCCTTTATTACTATCTTCTTCTTTTTCTTTTTTTTGGGGTTTATTGAACCTTTAAAACCATTCCGTCTCACAACCTTTATTACTATCAATAGTTTTAAAAACCATTTATAAAAACACTTTTTTTTTATAATATATATATATATATATAAACTTTACATTATACCACGCGTTTCGGTCAACAAATGTACTGGTTATTTTTCGAGCACACCAACGTGCGATAAGATAAGCTTTTGAATGTAACAATTAATTTTAAAATTATATGTACAACATTCGTCTATACAAAATACATTATTATTAATACATTATATAACGAAGTTTTTACCCACTATAATTATGTGGTATTTGGCTGTACAATATACTTACTTAGCAATCCATAAAGTATGCGGTTTTTGTCTACCAACCTCTTTGAGGTTAAAATCAAATGTGTGCGGTTTTGGATACAACCTTACATATTATAGAGTTTGTATGAGAGTAGGAGCGTATTAATTATATAATAACATTAATATTAAAAGTAATTTAAGTATTGTACCAAACCATATAGTTGTGTAGTATACATATATTGTTTATATATAGAATTATCAATTTATTATGTGTTTGTATCAAATAAGTGTTAATATTCGACAATCTTTTTATATTATTTCAAGTATTTATTGATGTGTATGAGCTTAAATAAAATAATTATGTTATATAAAATGCTTATCTCTACTAACAAATTTGTTTATCTGTATTCTATAGGAAGTAAAATTACATCCTTCCGGTCATTACTCCCTATTAGTTCATTTTATTTTAAATTTATGGTAAAGCATTTGTAGAATCAGAATAGTAATTAGAAATATTAAATTAAAATAATAATGTTTGTGACCAGTAAAATTAACTAGTTAATTCACTAACCTCTGATCTTGAAATAAAATGGTTTTAAAAATAATATAATTTTCATTTTTTAATATTTCATATTTTTTTAAAGCATTATAGACAATTTAAGCTTTTTGCTATTAATATCGAATAATTTGAATAGTAAAAGTTATTTTTTCACACCTCTATATTATCACATTGTTCATATTCCCGTTGCAATTTGGTCTCGGCTCCTAATATTAAAATTAAAAATACTAAATAGATTGTAAAAATAAATAAACTTACAAATCATAGTAATATTATGTGTGATATTTTATAGCAACCTTTCAAAAAACTATGTATGATCTCTCGTAATTGATAATACTGACTAATTTTAATGTTATATATATAACATTAAAATTAGTCATAATATATATATATGTATAATATTAGTATAATATTAGCATATGGATTTTAAAGTTGAAATGCACTTAATAGTATAATTTCACGATTAAATCATAGACACAAGATTTTTGTAAATACGTAAATCATTTTCATTAATAACGTTAACTTAATAGAATAAAAAATTTAAACATATAATTCATATATATTATATGTAAAGCCGTTTTTAGAATATTTGATACCCGTAGGCCTAATATATTCATCAAGGGCTTTTAAATATATAAATTATATAATTTTTGTACAAATTGAAAATAACTTATTTCTTCCATAATACATTTTGCTGCACGAACTCCAACCAAATTCAAATTATGTGATGCATATGGAACAAAAACAGCGAGTTTATACTTTTCTTTAATCCTGGCTTGTAGATCTGTATTTGGTCCCTAATTTTATTTTTTAAATTTGTCACGATTTATTTAAACCCTATCCACCCATTTCATGTTATATGAGGAAGAAAGTATCAGTTTTTCTTTCCATTAATAGAATTAAATAACTTTTTTTAAAAAGCTAATTTTAATATTTTGCATTCAATATTTATTTAACAAAAAAGAACAGAAGAAAATGTAAAATTATGATAGTTTGTAAATAAAATGTAGTTTTTATACTCCCGAGTTCTCTGGCCTAGGCCTTTGGCCCTTGCTTAAAGACGACACTGATTATGCGTATTAGTTCAACAAACTTAGTTCTATAGCACCTAATTTCTTATGTTAAAATATTTTATTTTTTTAGGAATGCACCCTTTATGGGTGGCATTGCCATTATGCTTGGCTCTATGTATTCCTCTACAAGCCGAAATTTACACAGCTCTCTCCGAACTCGAAGAATTGTTAGAAACGGAATCTGTTCTTTTGCGAACTTTACATCAATACATTTCTGATCAAGAACATAGAATACTATTATTAAAAAAATATTATTTTTGTTAAATTAAAAAAAAAATACCAGAAAGTATTATATTGAATCGTATGTTCTCTAGGCATGCCGAAGATTACGAAAAAGAACATTCAATCGCATCCAGAGACGTTACTAATTATCTATCAAACCCCATCAATGATTATTTATTGGTGAAACGATTAACTAGTGATTGGCATAAAACAGAGAAGTTGATGCAAGATCCACATTATGAAAGTAAATTTATAACACAATTAAAAGGTCGCAAAAATAAATAAAATATAAAAATTAATTTTTAGCTGCTATGAGAAATCTAACCCAATATCGTGAACTCTTAAAATTCCCTACTGATGAAGATTTAACTGGTGCTGCAACTGCACTAATTCGATTACAAGACACGTATAAACTCGACACTGCATCTGTAGCTAGAGGAGAGCTGAACGGAATTCAATACAGTACTCAACTTTCTGGTGAATATATAATTTAATTTTGTGATTAGAACACTCGTAAATAATTTTCTTTTAGCTGGTGATTGTTTTGAACTCGGTCGTCAGTCTTACAATGGGCAGGACTTTTACCATACTGAATTGTGGATGAACGAAGCTTTAACTAGACATGAACAAGAAAGATCTAATTCAACTGTTCGTTGGGAGATTTTAGAATATCTTGCGTACTCCACTTTTATGCAAGGTAATGTATAAAACTGTACATTTATAACCCAATAAATTGGTATTTATTTTTGGTTTTATTACAGGAAATTTAAAAAAAGCATTAGATTTAACTATTGAATTATTATCAATACTTCCAAACCATGAACGTGCTCTAGGCAATTTAGCATACTATGAGGCTGCAATAAAAAATGGAACCACTGAAGTTGAAAAGAGTAAACACTCTGCAAAAGTTGGTTCAACAATGTTAGACCCCGAAGAACGAGATCGATATCATATGCTTTGCAGAAATGAAAACTTAATGTCAATCGAACTTAGTTCAAAACTGCGATGTCGTTATACTAATAACAATAGAAATCCACTCTTATTGATCGCTCCACTTAAAGAAGAAGAGGCTTATTTAAGTCCACGAATACTTCTTTATCGAGAAGTCTTATATGACAATGAAATAGAAATTATTAAGCGTATGGCTCAGCCTCGAGTAAGTATTATCCTAAATTAAACATGTTCATTTAATTCAATTTAAAATTTAAATTATAGCTCAAAAGAGCTACTGTGCAAAATTATAAGACTGGTGAATTAGAAACTGCTGATTATCGAATTAGCAAATCCGCTTGGTTGAAAGAACACGAAGATGTTGTAGTCGCAAATGTTGCTAGAAGAGTTGAAGCCATTACGGGTCTTACTACAGAAACAGCTGAAGAACTTCAAGTTGTTAACTATGGAGTGGGTGGTCATTATGACCCTCATTATGACTTTGCTAGAGTATGTATAATGGTTGTTAATAGTTTAAGGTTTATAATATATATTTATAAATAAATTGTAATTATTTAGTCAGAAGAAACTAATGCCTTCAAGTCATTAGGAACCGGAAATAGAATTGCTACAGTCTTATTTTACGTAAGAAACTAAGTCAATAACCATATTGTACACAATTTAATTATAATAACATTTTGATTCTAGATGAGTGATGTTCCTCAAGGAGGATCTACTGTATTTCCTTGGTTAGGCGTAGCATTGCAGCCAGTTAAAGGAACAGCTGCTGTATGGTTCAATTTATTTCCCAGTGGAAATGGAGATCTTAGAACTAGACATGCTGCTTGTCCTGTACTTCAAGGATCAAAATGGGGTACTAATTTAAAATTAAAACAATAAAATACATAAATAAATATACTGTATTATTTTTAGTATGTAATAAATGGTTGCACGAAGTGGGTCAAGAATTCAGAAGACCCTGTGATCCTAAAGAAAACATCCAGGAAACTACTGGCAAATAATTTTGAAAACGTTGAACTTCTTCAATATAAGTTGAATTTTTAAATGTTTAATGTATCATTCTCATCATATTTAAATAAGATTAATATTTTACTTTTGTACAATATAATTTTATCCTTTTTTACAATTTTATAATAATTGTTTCTTTCTTAACTATCATTGATCTTCATAATATTTTTAAGTAGTCTTATTTAGTTTTTTTTTCTTTTTTATCAATTAGTACTTATTATGTAGTTTGTACATCAAAAAAACTTTTCATAATATTTAAATATTGTAAAAAAAAAAACCTGTTTCAGTTTGATAAGTAAAATTTTTATTTTACTTTTAAATATTTTATTGAGCAACATATTGTATAAAAAGAGATTATTAAAATAAAAATAAAAATTAAGAGCTATTTGTATACTTGAAATTCTAGAATTCATATTTTTTAAATCAAATTATTTGTTTATTTTTATACCTATAAGTCAAGAGTTATAATTGTATAGTAATAAGTATTAATTAATAAAGTAGCTTGTACTAAAAAAATAAATATATTAATTAAGTATTGATGTGAATATAATTTATAATGTTTTGTAATAAATTATTTCGGTATAATTTATGTATCTATCTAATTAAATCATTGAGTATATGTTTTTAATTATCATATCAATAGCTTTCAAATATTTTATGTAAAAAATATAGCAATAAATTCAACTATCACACTTTACTTTTAACATCAGAATATTAGAAGTTTATTATTGAAAGAAATATAATTATGTTTTTTTAATTTTTATCATTATATTTAATGTATGTAAAATATTCTTGTTTGATACTCAAATTTGATCAAATCAACAAAATTAAAATTTAAACAAGTTATTTGTCAAAATCAACACTACTGATGTACAGATCATTTTAGAATTTATTCATATTTTTTCAACTTATTTCAATATTTATTTTTCATGTAACAGTAGGTAGAAAAAGCTTGTTTACATCTATATGCTGTGTAAAAGTGGATATAATATCCTAAAGCTTTCTTGGTCAGTTGCTTTTGATCATTTTGAAAAATTAACTAAAATCAGTTAGGTTTTACTATTGAAAATATTTTTCATTGTTCCATTATTTAACAAATCAATTCATCTTGTTCCTATTTAAAGGGATTTTCTATTTTTTCAATATTAAAGGAAAATGGATTTCTTATCCAAGTATTGTCGAGTCAGGTTGATGATATGCATTTATACTAACAGGGGCGCCCCCCTAAGCCTGTATCATATTTATAAAAAAATGTATAATATGTACTATCATATGACACGCATTAGTATTTAGATAGAGCCATAGAGGTATGACAGTTGAAAGGAGTTTCTCCACACTTTGGAGACTAAAAACCTGGCTTCGTTCAATGATGACTGAAGATAGACTATCAACATTATGTCTAATTAATTATTATGTAATTACATTAATTAATGTATATCATAAAGTAAAAATTCTAGATCAAATAGATTATATTATTGATATTTTTGCTAATTTTAAAAATAGACGACTTGAATTTGTGTTGTAAAAATTGTTGTTTTATTTTTTTATAAGATTTTATAAAATTATAACTCGCCTCCCCCCCCCTAACTAAGGCTCTGGAGCCGCCCCTATATACTAAATTAACTATCTATTTTTTTTGCGATAATCAAGTTTTAATTGTCCAAAAATATCTGGAATTACAAATGACTACAAAGTTCATATTTTCACTAAAATAAAAAAAAAATCATAGTACTGCACAATCGCGGACCCCTAAAATCAACAGGTGGACCACTATTGGGAACCACTAATCTAAGTTACTTGAAATTATAAATGAGTTTTTATGTACTAGGTACCGAAAACAGACGGTTTGCCTTTGAATATACTAGTTATAGTTAAGGCCAAGTGATAACTGATAGAGATAACCTGATAGAGTCTCTAGTTTAACAATAATTTATCGTCTTGAAGCTATAAAAGCTCTAAACATTTAAAAATTACTTTATTGTATTTGTTTAGTTAAAAGCTAATGCTCTCATAATTCATATGATTCATATAGTCTAGAATCAGCGAGCAGTTAAGAAAGGAGCTTTTGATTGATCGAGATAAATAGTTATAATATTTAAAGAATTTAGCATAAAAAATTAAAATGAAGGGCGAAATAATTTTTTATTTTATTTTGTGTAAAAAAGAAATTGTGGCATGGCCGTAACTTTTTAACACGTTGAGTAATGAATGTCGACAAATAAAATATAACAAACAATGTTTATCTGTTATTTTTTTTTAGGTTATTCTCGTTGTACGTGTTTTCCTTAGTTTACGCCACGGACTAAGATATATCTTAGTCCGTGGTTTACACGCATTCACGATAATGTCGTCGTCGTGCAAACGCTGTGGTCAGACTGATCACGTACGAGCGTCGTCGGTCAAATGTTCGCAGCGCGTATTGTCGCAAAAGCGAAGGTTTACCACGGATTCGACAAATAAAAACGTATCGACATACACCGTTCAAGAGAGTTTCCGCAAGTTTTGTCCAGACTTGGCGTTACGCGAGCACATAGCCGTGGACGTGTTCGAAGTGTCGGCTCTGGCCGTCGAATCTTCGGTATACGTACACTATCATTATACGAAACTATTACACTCTGAAGATTGCGGCAACGCGTTTACCGAGAATTCGGCGTTTACGCAAAACCACTTGTTCGATTTTTACCATCACCTGCAGAGCAAAAGTCAACGTATGGAACGTGTGCCGCTGGACGCCAAATATTTCGCTTTGCGCGAAGCGCACGGATTGTGCAAAACGTACGACGGAAAATTACAGTCATACTTGATCCAATCCATTGCCGTGCAACACGAGACAGCCATGAAGAATTGCGTTTGCGTGCACCTATACGATCGAGTGGTGCGTTACGTGTACTTGCGATACGAAGGCCGGACGCCCAAATGGGTTTGGAAGTGTCGGGTATACGAAGAACTGTTTTCTCGAGAACATCGAGTCGCCCGCAACTCGGGAATCACGGAGTTGCTCGAAACTTTTGGTCTGCCCCCGGATTACCGGGGTTTCGTGGACCCGGAGAAAAATTGATGGCCGCTGATTCCGTTTTCGCATAAACTGGCGACGTGGTTCCTGCGAAACAGATCGCGATCGTTTTCCGTATTTTCTCGTATATCGTCCGGGAACCAAGCACTTACGGTACAACGCCATGGCCTACGAGCTGTTGCGCGCGGAAAAACCTTTAGGATTCAAAACGACACACGAAGATTTCAGAGCCGCGGCCCCGACGCACTGGTGGCGTTATTTCGACTTTTCGAAACGGCGTTATGGCCGACTGGACCCGTTGACGAATGCGATCGCGGTACACCGGGACCGCACGAAATTCACGATGTCATTTACCACGAACGGAGCTTACTGCTGCGTGTCTATGGAGAGATTTACGCGAGATTCTATCAGGGTCGAACCGAAACGCAAACGATCCAAAAAGGAACAAGTCGAAACCAATGATCTGGATTTGTCTAGATTTTCCGGATTCCTAGGAATCGATCCGGGGTGGTCAACTACGTGGACACTTGCTATCTCGAAGTAGCCGGCGCTTCGGATCCAAAACGTAATTATACTCTAAAAACTACAAAGTTTAAGCAATTTGAGTGTAAAGAACGATTGATTCACCGTAGACATGAGAAATTGATCGGTCGACATGAACGCCAACTTTTGGAAAATCGAAAAACATTTAAAAACACGACGTCAAAATGTTGCGAAAGCTATGGCGACATTCTGGCGTATTCGCGGCACAAACTGTTAAAATTAACGTGGTATGCTAAAATTTGTTAACGTAGCGCCGAAGATTCATTAGTCCAGCGGCTTTTGGACATGACGGAAACCAAAGAGCTCGTACTGGTGTGTTTCGGAGACGGGTCGCTACGGGACAGCGTGAGCTATAGCGCGAATCGGAAGCCAGCCGTGTGCTCGTTGCGTCGAGCTTTTCACCGCCGGCGAAATCGCCGATGTCTCTCGGACGAGTACATGACCACGCAGTGCTGTTCGAGGTACACGGAACGCATGGCTCTACCTCTGAAACACGAGGATACGTCTCCAATAGCTTCCAGAGACGACAAGCAACGCAGACGCCACGATCACGGGTTCCAGTTTTGCCGAAAATGTGGAATCACTTGGAATCGGGACGTCAACGTCGCCCGGAACATCGCTCTCGTGGCCCTAGGACTACAGACTGGTGGACTACAGAAGACAATTTGCCAGAAATAATAATACTAATGATAATCATAATAATAACGATTTTGTAATTGTCGGACGAGAGTCGTAGTCACACTACAATTGTTTGTCCGACGGACACGTTTATTCGTGTATTTTATAATATTTATATATACACTGTGTATTTTATTTTATGATTTATACTATAAACGATCTCTTAATGTTACGAGTGCTGAAAGCTTCGACTAATGTCGACGTTCAGCACTCGACGTGTTAACTCGTTCATTGTGATAGAGAATCATGAATTCGTGATATCGTTTATCGTTTCTATTACAGATACGATACTATTATCAATTTTGTGATACGAGACGAAATTCTGCGTTCAGCGATATCACTAAATTTACAATATTGTGCCTCAGTAAAATAGTTCTGTGCTATTTCGGCAATACTAGTGGCTTACAACATTTCTAAACGGCAATTATATAATTTTCGTTGCAATTTGAAATTCCAAATGTATATGAATTAAACAATATATTTTATCTATTTTTTCTCCGACTGACGGACAACTCAAGTATTTCATAAGGATTATCATTATAACAAGTTTTTTAAACCGGTGTCGTGCAATGGTCGACTACAGAGAATTCGACTTTCCTGCCGAACTGTGTTGTTCACCCAGTCCGCTGATCGCAATCGCAGGCCTGGACACCGTGAACAACGCCATTCACAGATCTATTTGGGATGCATTCCACAGTCCTGTTGGCCGCGAAAGCCGAGCTGTTTTGAATTTTTTCCACCTTACATCAGAGTTTAAATTTCCTACAATGAGCGAAAAGGTACTTTAATCATCATTACTACTCAATGTGTTGGGATTGTTGAGTTTATTGCATTGTAATATATTGTGTGTATGTTTTTTTCCAGCAGCTTATGCCAAATATCCCTAAAGGTATACTGAAGAGAAATTGGATTGAAAAACACATCCATTATGATCCTGCTGTTATTGTCATTTTTTATGACTGTGATTGGGATGATGAATCTTGGAATGAAAAGATCAGCGAGTGTTCGTCCAGAGTACAATCAATTAGGTGATTTTATATTTATATATTTATTTTATTGATACTCTAATTTTGCTATTACACTTTTTTCAAATCAAGTTTTAAGTATTTATATTTTTGGTATATTTGTACATTTGTGGGGATTATGATTTTTAGGAAATTTAAAAATATATTTATTGTTTATAATAAATCATGTATCATATAATTTAATTAGTTGTGAACTGGATTTCCAACAATATCTGCAGTTGCTTATATTATTTTTACCATTTTCATTAAGCTTATTTTAAATGAATAGGTTATCACTGGAAGGCAGAAAATCAAGAATAGTTGTAGTTTTAATACAAAAACAATTGCCAATCCTAGCATCAGATGACACCACTACTACTGAGAGAGCTGCTTCGCTGTGTGTAGCATGTAATTTAGACCCAAAGGCTTTATTCATACTTCCAGTGGTAGACAATATTCATGGTTATGCTATAAGGTAACATGTATAATGCTTACATACATGAATTAACTTTGTTAATTTAATTATAACACATAGATTGGAAAATGCATTCTATGATTTGGCACAAAATTATTACCAACATCAAATACGTGCAGTAAAATTAAAATTAGAAAACTTAAGTAAAACTAGTCATCAGTATTTAATTGTTCGTTATGAATTCAAAATTGGATTTTATAATGAACTAAAACAAGACCACCACAATGCTCATAAGTAAGTGTGACATTTATAATATGTTTTAGTTTTCAATAATTTTAATACTTTTAATATTAAATATGTTTGTATATAGGCACTATCATCAGTGTTATATGTCTTTATTAGAAATTCGCACTTTTGACACAAACATCTATGAAGTGAAGGTAGTAGCTGCATACATTGTATATAAAATAAGTAGATTGCTGTTTTCTATGAAGAGGGCACGAGATGCATTGTCTCAGTTTAATTCCCATATAAATGTGTTTAAATCAATGATTGGACCACCAGAATTGATGTTTGAACATTATGCTTGGTTATCTAAACAGTAAGAATTTTTAAACATTGTTACATGGATTCAAAATTATATCTTGTATTTTATTTATTTTAATAGATTTTCAATGTTTGCTTCGTTATTTGATGAAACTACAGCTGAGAGCTTTACTGCTACCCAAGCTATGAACCCGGGATTTTTCTTTAAAGAAGCTGCTGAATATGCAAAAAAGAGAAAAGATAGTGCTTATAATATTTGCCAGGTTCTGTGATTTAAATAGTAAACCTCACTGAGATATGTTTTTATTTATTCTTTATATTATGATTAGGATGTTAATGTCTATCCAGCTAGCAACCCATTAAATGAATGGAACAGTATAGAATTCTATGGGCAAAGACCATGGAGATTAATGAAAAATATTAATATTACAGACTATGACACTATTGAAGCAGATGGTATCCTAGCTTTGAAGTATTATGAAAACTATAAAGTCGATCATTCAGTATGTATCAAATAAATATATGATTTGAAAACAGTGCCAGTGCTAGGATATTAGGACCCTGAGTAGAATATTATTATGTTGATGAAAAACCGCAGATCCAATTAAAATTTGTAAAACAATCGTAAACCCAGAATATATGTCCCTATTGTCTTTTCTAATACCAGCACTGTTTAAAAACAATTTATAATTTTTTCAATTTTTTACAATTTTTTTTTTTCATATATATATAGAAATCAATCATTAGTCTTTTAGGAAATGCCATGAAACAATTCAAAAATTACAAATGTCCTAGGATGAGAAATTTGTTAGGTATTTATTTTTATAAATGTTTGTTGAAATACTCTCATAACTCATTTAAAATGTGTCTCTACTTAATTACAGCTGTACAAATGGCCGATGAATATTATAATGCAAAAGATTACAGTAAAGCACTGACGTTTGTATTTTAATAAAATACTTTACTTTTAGCAGACAATTTATAACTATTTATCTATTAAAATTAGATTATGGAGTCACATGTTATGGGATTATCGAGACGAAGGCTGGAAAGCGATTGCCCATGAATTAGTAAACAAATGCCTAAAATGCGCTTATTTAACTGCTAGTGTTCAAAATTATGTTGAATTAAATTTAGAAGCTCTGAAGTATTACAAAAATGATGATCTCCAAAAATCTTTAGCTAATATTGGTTCAATAATACAAGTAAATAGAAAATGAACATTGATTAAATTTTACTAACTCAATCAAATGCAACAAATATTATTGATATTTAGAGACAAATTCCAGAACCTGAAAATGGACTCGACGAATATGAGAAAAATATTGCTGTGCAAATGTGGCAAAAATGTGATGCTATGAAATCAAAATCTGTTTTAGAAATTGACATGTCAGTCACAAATTCTACAGTTGATACTAAAGTTGTTCTGAAAGATGTGTCATGTGATAGCATTGAAATTGATGTATTTTTAAAGTACTTTTTTTGGTCTTATAATTTGTTTAAAATTATAATTGTAATTAATTTGCAATAATTTTAGAGCAAATTTTCCAATATTGGTGCAATTTTCTAAACTTACAGCTTGTGTTACTTGTATTGATAATTCATATGATGTTGAAGTTTGTACAGATAGCAGTAAACTTATTTATGGAGAATCTAAGACTTATAAATATACTTGTAAATTTGTACCATCTCCAAATGACATCGGAAAAGAAATAACTGTAAGTATAAATATAAGACATTATTTGTTTAATTGGATTGTTATTAATTTATTTAAATTACTTACTGTTCAATACAACAGGTTTAGGTAAAGTTATATAACATTGTTTTAATTACATTTTTTCAGGTGAATTCTATTCAACTGCAATTAGGCAATGAACCCGATTTTCCAATAATGTTAAAGTTCTATAGTTCAACTAAAAAAACAAAAAGTTTTGAAAGAGAAATGAATAATTTCAGGTATTAAATTATTATAAATTATCGAATTTTTATATTTCATTATAGTTTTAATTTTCTTATCATTACTCATCATATTTAATTACTGTCATTATTGTTATTTAAGTTTGTCTAAGACTTCTGATGATGAATTCGAGAGAATGAAACAAATTACATCAGCAACTCTGAAACCAAGAAGTTCAAGACTAGGCATGGTAATTAAACACGATAACCCAGCACTATTGTTGGAATGGTATAATGTATCTGTGTGTTTGACCAATTTAGAAGATCGGCCTGTCAGTGATATCTGTTTAAATTTATCACTGAACCGTAACAATAATGAAAAAGTTGAACTCTCGAGTAATTGCGTATTTTTTAAACAATAAATAGTAAAAAAATTATATTTTGTCTCATAATATTCAAAATTTTCAGCTGAAATATGCGAAGACCCAGATAAGAATACATTATCATTACCAGTAGATTTCAAAATAGGTAACATGCTTGTTGGTGATGAAAAAAATCAATCTTTCTTCATTCGTTCTTCAAGTTTAGATACTCGTTATTTTCAGCTTATGGTGAGCAACTTATTTTGATTTTATGTTTTTCTCCTTGCTATACTGCTCTACATTTCATTATTTATACTAATAATAAAGGGTAAAACTATATATATATATATATATATATATATATATAAAAAAATTACCCCCTGATTTATGTTCAATTATTATCTAACAATTTACATTGAATATAAATTAATTGTTAATATGTATAGGATATCATTCTACATATCTTTTTAAAGAATTTATTATTTTGTGTTGTACAAATTGTCATTTGAAATAAATAATCTGTCACAATTATATTTAAATACTTGATGTATCAGTTTTCATTATCATCAATATTATTTATATTAAATTTTCTTTGAGTAAAATATAAAATATTAATACATGTTATATTTGCTGTAAAATATTAAATCTTTTGTAATTGATTAATATTTGGTTATTACTTATTTTAAAATGTACTAAAAATTATTATATAATTCAAAAATAGTTTTGCACTAGGTAATGGAAATTTGGTGATCAGATAATATATAACATTTTAAAATGATTCTATATTTATAAAATGAAAATATCTACTTTAATTATTTGTTAAATTACATTGTTCCTGATGAAATATTTTATAAATCTTGAGTGATATAAAGGATAATTCTGATGGTTGTTTTACACCTTTGAATTTGCTTGAGATATAGGAGATATATATTTATCTAATAATATATAGCATATATTCTTTAGTTTTGCCCTTTATGATACTGTTAATTGGTTAATGATACTACTTTTTGTTCATTTATTATCATTACGTATTATTGTTTTAGATAAGTTATACAATTGAAGATAATAATGGAATAAAGATTGCCTGTGTGAAAGATGTTGAAATCATTATCGATGTAGTTGTTGTATTTGACATATCTGTGACTTACATGTCTTCTAGATTTGAGCCAGTATCCAAAATACATATTGGTGAATCATTAATTATGGTACCGTGTATAAAATGTCTTTCTCCTTGGCCAATATTTATTGAAAACACATCTTTTCAATTGGTAACATACTATAAAATATTAATCATTTAATTTCAATATTCTTGAATATTTTTTCATTACTTTTTTCAGGCTGAACACATTGCAGTTTCTCCTGGTGGTTATCAATCAGTTTTAAATGAAGTAGTTTTAGAATCTGACGAAAGTGCTACTGAAATAATATGTGTAACACCTTCTGAACATAGTGAAAATGTTTTAGGATGTTTCACTGTTAATTGGAAAAGGTGTGTATCACATTGAATATCTTTTAAACTTAATTAACTTAAAACTCAAGTATATTGTAGCTATTTCAAATTGCGATTGACAGTTAAATTTGAAATTAATATTTTTTAGGTCTAATATGGAAAGCAATTGCAAAAGTGGATACTCATGTTTAGAGTTACCTAAAATAACTACTGAAAAATCTACATTTTTGGTAGTTTCCTAATATATTATTTTATTTTTATGGTCATATAAAAACGAATAAAAAAATTTAATTTTCAGGTGGATATGAAAACACCCGCCCATGGTTGGCTACATACACCAATGAGTATAGTATATTTCTTACATAACAATTCTGAGTCTTTACTTACATTAAACATATCAATGGAAGCTAATGAAGCATTTATGATGGCTGGACATAAAGATGTATGTGTATTAAATAACATTATTGAAGTATATTATTCCATTAATGTTAAATATAACTTTGTATACTGTTTTAGCTAAATGTGACAATTTTGCCAGAAAGCACTTATAAGTTACACTATAATCTATATCCTCTTGTTGTTGGAGTGTCAACATTACCAAAAATGCACATCAGCTGTAATTCTGAATCAAATGATTTGAAAAATATACTAAATGACATGCTATTAAGGTCTTTACAAACACATATATATATAATGGTAAGTAATACATCTTTAAAAAGTGAATTATTATAACAAAAAAGTAATATTGCATGGAAAAAAATGTTTAATTTACCTCTGTAAATTATATTAATTATAACGCATTATCATTTGTGTAAATTTAAATTTTTCAGCCGAAACATGTACCAACGAGTACTGCAGAAATTTTTAACTAAAATGCAGCTTATATTTTAGTTGTTATGTTTTTAAAAAAAAAATTTGTTATACAAACTCAATTATTATTATTTTGGTTGATTAGTTTACTATCATTTACATAAGTTTTTTAATTATTAAATTATTAAATATAATATGTTTTTTCTATATTTTTTATGTTAAATACCTTAAACTGTTATTTATGACATTATATACGTATTTATTTATTTTATTACTATTTATTATTACAATGCAAACTCATTATTATATTTATTATTTATTTATCATTATATTATATTTAATTTATTCAAAATATTCTTGTTCGATACTCAAACTTGATCAAATCAATGATTGTCAAAATCAACACTACTGATGTACAGAGTCATATTAGAATTTATTCCAGTGATGACTCGTCAGGCTGAGCCTCACCTTACTGTTTTAAATAATAAGAAAGAATACTATATACATAGTTATTCCCTATCGCCTTAAAGAATATTATATTTAATTATAATTAAATTTAAAATAGAAAAGTTATCTGTTATATATATTATATATCCAAAGCTATTTATTAAAAATTATGACAGAAAATTTTCGAGCCTTCATGAAACTATAGAAATTAGAACTACAAATAAGATAAATCAAGATTTTAATTTTATCTTATCTTTGATGGAATGGTCGATCGAACCGAAAACCGGAGAGTGCCGAGAAGCTTAATATATTTTGTCTCTGATTTTCAGTATGATTATAAAAGTATTATAAAATATATAAATTGGAGAAAGTCAAAAATTTTATGATGAAATGAGGCAGAACCACAGATATATATATTTATATATACTGCATTAAATAATTTAAATATTTAAATGTAAAGGTATGTTTTTTGTTTTTTTAAGGAATTTTGGTATGATTCTCTCAAGTAAGATTTTATATATATTTTAAAATTTGCTTCACCTCTCATTTGATCCACGAACCACCCATGCCATACAGTGACGGAGCGAATGGGAGTAATAGGGGTAGTTACGCCTTAAATTATAATTAAGGTCCCGTGGTTCTGAAATAGTTTTTAACTGTACCTATATAATATATTTTATTAATAGAAATTATAAGACCCAACATTTATTTTGCCCAGGGCCTCGTAAACTCTAGTACTATCACTGCTGCCATAGAGTAACTTACTGTCATACTCTATGCAGCACAAGAATATTTATTGCTCACATTTGATAACATTGATAAATGAACGGTAATTTAAAATATGTCCAACAGAAGACGAACATTTTAGGTAATCGACCCCAGAATGCTAATTACGAGCGGTTCATACCAATGTTATAGCTACATTGTTATTGATTGTAAAATGTACTAATTGACTTATTTTAATTTTGTGACTTTAATACACGAAAGACCAAACTTGTTATTATTTACTAAGAAAATCAGTATCAATGTCGTTTTTGACGATAACGAAGAATAAATGTTCATTGTTTGTGATGGTGCCACTATTATGTACCAAGACTATAATTTGTCATATCAACAATTTGAATGTTCTTAAAATGCAATACACAAATTTTTATTTAAAAATAAAATATAATTTTTTTATTTATTTATTTGAAGACTATTCCAAATACTTCTAAAACGTATTTAAGCAATACTCAAATATCTTTCTATAAAAAATATTTAGGTGATATTTTAAAATATTACAGATTATTAATTAGATTAACATTACAGATATTTTCTTTAAATCAAAAAAAAAAAAAAAAAGAGTTTACTCTGAATTGTAATTAAATGATTTTTGACCAGCGTAAAACGTATTTCAGCGCTTAAATTACTGCAGATTATAGCAGCAATTCCTAAACTGTGAGACGCAAGGCAAATATTCATTCATATTTAAATTTGAAAAATGTTTTTTTATTAATTCATAATTCATAAGGGGTGGTTAATTTTTTTTTATTTTGGAGATGCGTGAACCAAAAAATTTTTACGAATCGCTGGATTGTAGAATAAATCCTAACCCCCTTCGCCTACTTCATTACCATCTATGAATTCAAACTATACTAGCGCTCCATAACTGTTGCGTTCAATAGGTAAGGTTAGCCGAATATTAACATCGCATGGGTTATCCGTTTATTCTATAATTAATGCTGCAGGTGTATCACGTCGTATCAAAGATAAAAATGTCCAAAGTTTTTTTAAAATTCCAATAAAATATTATCATTTATGAATTTAAAAAAATAGTGAGAATTATGTTAAACTAATACAAGAGCTATATAAATGTAGTTTTTGTACACAATTTAACATATTTTATATTTTACAGCTTATTTGCATAAATAACTTTTTTAATCTGTAAACAATTATATAGGGTCGATGGTAATTAATAATATAGATTATATTAATCTTGATGAATCAAAATAAAAATAAACTCTCGAGTAATTGCACATCTTTTAGACAATAAATGGAAAATAAAACGATTGTATAATAATGATTTATTTACTTATTAAATATAAATAGATGTATTGATAAATCAAAACGTGTGTAGAATATGACAATGATAAAATATCAATAATTCATAATTAAAATCAAATATATTGAGCTATATTTTAAAAAAAATATAATTTATTCACGTACTAAATTAGTCGTTAATCTTTACCAAACGAAAGACTTTTTTTAGGTTGATCAATTCTGATCAAGTTTTTGGCCACATTTAAATAAGCAGTATACTTTATAGTGATCGGCTCTGTGTCGTAATGATAATGACCGCCGAAACCGTGATCACTGAACAAATGAAAATGCTGGGGCCTCAAATCCAATCCCTGTAAAACATAGAATACATTATATGATCTTAAACAAATTCTTGGTGGTGCTATACATATAATTCAAAAATAATTAATTACCGGGTCATTGGAAACGAGATAGCCGAGCCCTACTAACGGTGTGGAAACTTCAAAGAAATTAAGCCAGTTGTTTAATTCTGTTTCTGTATTTAGGGGGGTTTTCGAAAATTCCGGCATCACGTGGACTTTAACTTTACCATTTTCAATTAGAATCGCTCCTCCTAAAGCTGAAATATATTAATACAACATTTATATTCATTTTTTATATATTACATATTTTAATTTAATTAAAACGATATTCCACAGATAGTGAGAGTAATATCAGATCCATAACTAGGGTAGGGGGAGAACAGATCCATATTGTCTTAATCTAGGAAAATGTAGGGGCCCCCTTAAAGTCCAGACTAATGGGAGTACTTGGAGCTACTTATTAGAGATGATATATATTAATTTATTATTTCTACACTATTTTTCTTTATGAAATATTAAATTTAATTAAATGTAATTAACTTAAATTTATATTAAGCCCTATTATACAAACAACATTTTCAGTAATTCTAATCTCTAAATAGCCATAACTGTAATTTATTATGATTATTGCTGAGATGTGAAGAATGACATAATTTTATCTAAATTTATGTAGAAATTCGTTATCACAAGTATCGACACGACAACATCCTAGTTCTTATTTTCTATGGCTGTTTATAAATTATCTAAGAATAAATTAAGTTTTAATTAAATGTGGTAACTGGCAATGCATAGTCAAGAAATTATTAAAAATGTAATTCATTGTATTGATGCATTTAAATGACCTTGATTAGTTGAGGTTTGGAAAACTATATTTACCAACATATTGCAAACTTAGTGAGTATTTTTTATCATAATCGTATATTATTGTGATGATTTTGGGGCCCCCGAATTAATTTTCTTTAGGCCCTAAAAATCCTCAGGACGGCTCTGAGTATTATTAGACTCACCGACCGTTTCTTCGCCGTAATAGTTTGCCAACGCTTCTCTTATAGACGATACGAAATCTAATGGACCTTTTCGTGTTTCGCAAACTATTTTCAAAACCTGAAAGGATGTTAAATCATGATTTAATACCATCATTCACTCATACATTGATACACTGCGATAAATATCAATATAATGAATGGGTCACGTAAAATGTATTATAGGTCGAACTACCTAAATTATTACCTCTCCGCTGAAACCATTGCTAGTGTAAAAATTTGCCAGTAACGCAAATCTGGTCTCGTTTTGAGGTAAATTTCCGTGTAAGATACCTTTGGTCTCAGGATTGATTTTGTAAAAATGAGAACGATTAATAGTGTGATTATTGCCGGAAAATTTGACGTTTCCAATAAACTAAAAAACAAAAAATGGATAAAAATATACACGTAGAGAGATATGGATTAATATTTATAACATACTGGTTGATACTGATGTCATGATGTATAATATTAACGATCACATAATATATGATATATTCCACATAATTGATGGCTTCTCTATTATTTAGAGTATACTATACTTTATTTTTTATTATATTAAAATTAATTAATAGGTGTAATAAGTTTATGAATTGTTTTTAACGATTTATTAAATTTGAACTCTAGAACGTTTCTACATTCGAGTGCTAATTTGAACTCCAGTACTATCGAATCGGGTCACACAAATAGTTAGTAAGTTTAGTAAGTTTCGTTTCTAAGTATTTTTAGGTTGCATATTATGAATTAATAACAATACCGATTTGATGGATAATTTATACATTTAAGGGAATGGATATCTTTAAGTAATTTCTAACCTCAGGGTTGGACTAGCTTTATAGCTCGGCCCGGGCAAAATAATTTCGAACGGCCTCAATGGAACTTTATAAGTAGGTAGGTACCTGATCAAATTATTGTTTAGCTGAAAATGTATCTTAGTAACTCAAAAAACAATATTCACACAAGTACATTTGAATATTTTCAGATTTAATGTTATACCTTAAATAAATCTAGTTTACGCATAATGTATTTTATCTATAATATTGATATAATGACCTACCTATTAAGATAAATTTTACACCATAAAAAATGATTTGATTTAAATATGTTCATACATTTAATTTTAATTGAGTTAGAACAGTGGGGTCGGCAACTAATGTCTCTTTTATACGGCCCACAGTAAATTTCAAAACTAGCAAATGTCATTGAATATCATATACATTTTTTATATTGTCTGGCCCTAGAACCATTTTTAATTTGTGAATGTGGCCCAAAGGTCCATTAAGATTGGAAACTAGTAACAGACTTGTCATTGACTGAATGTCAAAACTATTAAAATGTTTTTGAATAAAAGTCTAATAAATCTTATAAAAATTATTACTATCAAAAAACAATTTCGTTAACGCATATCTTGCTTGACAATGTCTACCCATACCATGGTCTTAGAAAATTAATCTTCTAAGACCATAACCCATATCAACATTTTATTTTAATAATTGTTTGAACAAACGCGAACGGTACTTCGTATGATTAACATATTGTAAACATCTTTTGTATTCAAATTTCCTACAATTTTTCTATTTATAAATATTCTGGTGATATCATTGTTATCAATTGCCCTATCGCGACATTAAAAATGTTAAATTTTCAAACTCCGAGTTACCTAATCCTGTGTCACCGCATCCATTAGTAATATCATATTACAAGACGATATTTTCATTTTATTTTACGGATAGAAGATAGACGCATTAAATTAAAAACAAAAAAATCTAATTAATTTTATTTAACCAAAATTACAGCAGCCCACCGGGGCAGGCCCCGGTGCCCCGGTGGTCTAGTCCAACCCTGTCTAACCTCTTCAAGCTACCAAATAATCCTTCTAGTGGCATTAATTTACGTTAACCTACTGGTTCAACAGTGTTAACTTATCAGTTTGATCAACATTCATTTTTACGTTTAAAGCATAAAGGGAAAATTTCAATTTTGTATTAGTATAGCAACAGTATAAAAGCATGGACGTATATAATTTTTGATTATTATTTTTTCGTATTGCTAAGAAATGAACCATATTGCAACGTTTGCAGGGATTTTTTTTATAACAAGAAACATATTAATTATTATATAATTACTTCGCTATTGACTCCAACGTATGGCCACGGGCCTGCTCCTGCTCCGACAATGCTTAAAGGATCAGATCCAATAACCTTTTTAAAGTCCTTGATGTCATATAGCTTGTCCAAATTCACCGATGGCAGCAGATATGATGGACTGCCGACATCGATTACTGTCTCATTGCCACTCAGTCCTATAAACCCAACCACGGTACAGTTATTTTGTAATATGTAAGTCAATGTTATCAATAAAATACTGGTCTGCAATACTGTAACATGTAGTAATAATACGAGTAATTACGATTGTATGTTCACAATTTTAGATACCTTCGGTAGCCAAGTAGAACGGCGGTTGTGTTAAATCTGGACAAGGCACCACTTCAACAGATACTGACTCGAAATTTTTTTTTAGACCAGGTAAAACGGCTGAAACCATTTAAAGTATAAGTGTTATTAAAACATATTTTGGTCGACTATTTTAACATTTAACATTTAAGCAATAATCACACTAATATAATTATACGAAAATATGAAACTACATGCCTATAGTATAGCTAATAGGCATTGCATATTTATAAATAATCCGTATCTCGTATAAAAAAAAAAAGTACTGTTTAATTACTTTATTTAAAGTTTCAGTAAAGTATAAATAGTTATATCATACAACATTATTTTTCTTCTCTTATTCCGACTTGTATGCACACAATTTCAAAATAGAAGTGTTCAAAGGCGAGTTTACAAAATAGGTTGACTGGGATTGGACCTGCCCAATTTTTATATAACTGGTTAGATTTTTTTTATTAAGTTATTTTATCAAACTGCATCAGATGTATATCATTGGTTATGTGTTTATATAGACGCGTACACAAAAGAAAAATTGGGAGGTTGTACATTTTCATACTTATATAATCTATAAACCACTTTTACTCTATAAAAACATATTTAATAATTATCTAAATTTCGGGGGAAGAGGGTTTGAACCGCTAAGACTCTCCCTTGTGTACGTGGCTGCAGGTACGGCGTGAGGGGGTGAGCATTAGGGGCAGTTGCCCAGGGCCCCGCGGTTCTGATTTAACTGAACTTAAAATATTTTATTAATATAAATTATAAGACCCAACATTTATTTTACCCTGCGCCTCACAAACTCTAGCACCGACACTGCGTGGTTGTGTGTATATCATGAAAATATATTAGAAGTTTTGTAGATAAAATAAAAGGTGAAACGCATGGGACTTTTTGAGGAATCCGTTGGGGTATAACAAAACAATATTATATTAAATTTAATATGTCATGAATGGACCAACGACGGCCCGTATGGCACGCCGCACGGTATGAAAACGGGATACCTAGAAAGTTTATCTTATCGCATTTTTTAAATTTTTAAAAAAAATAAAAAAATAATTTAATTTTTAAATTTAGTTATTACCCGATATGGCGTGCAGCTGTCATCGAGTCTGATTAATTACATATTATCGTATTTAATTACGGCCTATAGGTCTACAGGTGTCTATGGTTATTGGTAAAATAAGTTTTGCTAAGGGCCTCGCAAAAGGTAGCGCCGGCTCTGATTGTATATAATACAAATCAACCCTTAACAAGAGGAGAAAGGGGGTTTTTACTTCAAGGATCTCTTCGCAAAATTGCCATTGCATGTTGTTACAGGTAAAGTTTACTTTGTGTAGCTAAAAAGACACATTTGTCGAGACGAAGGCAACGAACATGCGTTATCTATGGACATAGAGTGATATGGAGTGTCGCGGGATTTTTTGAATGAACTATAACGTTACGTATGTCTTCGTGTTACACAGGGTGGGACACCAAAACCTGTTGTTTCAGTTTTTCCAAATTTTACACAGTAGCCAATATTCTGTGTTATAATATTCATGCACCATAGTCGATTTCCGCTTTTCGTATAGTTCACGGACGTGCAAACATTAAACGAGCTATTTATTACATATTATATTTATACTTTACTAGTGTCAAACGCAATTAATTCACGGTGAGTAAAATAATTACACGCGCACCGTACACTGTAACGCATTCGATCGCAATGCTGTCGTAACGGTACGGGTACTCGCACGCCGGCAGTCAGTACTCTTGTTGTTATCACTAAGTAAAATGTTCACTTATGTTAGTACGGTCATGCGCAACTGTTACGCATTATTTATATATACATATTTATAATATCGTACGGTCGGCGTAACACAGCGGTCGTTCGGATGCGCTGAGAATCACGTAGTATTCGTGCGGTGAACAAAAATTACGTACATTAACACACACGTACCTTGTACGATTCGGGCCAAAGGCGGTTCGGTAAGTTTCAGGCGCACGGCGGGTAGTTCGTTCATGTGCAGCGTAGAGGGCAAATACGCGGCCATGTTACGTACGAACGGTTTATTTTATTCGGACGGTGGTGCGAAGAAAACGGTATTGCACTCAGAAACCGTTAACAGACCGCTTTGAGCTACGTCTCCGCCGGTAGTGCGGGGACAAGTAATAATATCTTATCGTGACGCCATAGATAAGTACGTTTGTTGGGTGAGACGCGTCGATCGCCTGGAGCCGCCGTAACGACCACTGTTACGAACGGCGAGGCGGTCCCCTCTCCGGTTTTGTCGATCGCACGTTTCAAAGTCCCCACCGCGACCACGTGTTAGATTACGTATTTACATACGTGTAATTATTTACATATCACGCACGTCATGTCGATAATACCACAGAATAATAATTAACTATTAATAATATTATGTTAAATACCGATTCGACCGACAGTATCGTGCAAACCTGTGGTGCACGCCACTATTCGACGAGATGGATTCGCGAGATCAAATAATATCATTAATGTGATTACCGATATCCTGACGTGAGAACAATGATCTCTTGTATCACGTTGTATCCGAGAAATAACCACTTATCTCTTCATCACTTCGAAGAGATCTACAAAATTAACTGGGGCGGCTTGTATTAAACATACGTAAAAACATGATTACAATGCTGCAACCAAGATTTTCGAATCGGTATCCGTATAAAATTGCCATCCGCGCGTTGACCTTGATTTCGTTCATTGAATTTTTTAAGTTTAAATTAAAATTCCTACATCAGTTTAAAAAACATAGATATTGAGTGTATCTACTTCGGGAAATATGAGACTTGGGGTGTTATTAATAGCCCAGATCAAATCAAGTAAAATCGCTAAAAACTAATGTCGGCTAGACCATTGCTTCTTTCCTTGGTAAATGCTTTAAATCTCATATTTTATTATTTATTTTTTAGAATATTTACGTTTGTGACTCAATTCTAAAACTAAATTCAAGTAAAATGAAATCGCTGAAATCATAAACGTCTAATCATTTTTTGAAATACAGACTGCAGCTTTCAATAGAAGAAGGAAAAGTTGCGATATTATAACTTATAGACGACAAATACGTTGATCAAATTATCTTGTTAGCTTATACGAATAACCGAATAGGTAACTAATAATCTTATATTTACAGCGGATGGGGTTTTGATATATGGATTCAGTCTCCTCGACGAAATGGAAATAAAAATCTACGTTTTATCAAATTTATGTATTATATAACCCCTAGAACAAAATTTTAAATAAGTGGATACACCACTATTTGTAGGTATTAGCATTGATTATAAAATAAATTTATTTATTCTATGATCAATAGTATTAGTAAATATCAGGGTTCGGGTCTTATAGCATTTGCATACTTTTGTTATTTATTGTAAAACATAGCAATGTACGAAATAAATTCATTTTTCGATGCCATAATACCAAATATAAAATTTCAACATGCAAATTTTTGCATATTCGTAGATTTTCCAAGAAAATGATTTATTGTACCTTTTTTGTGGTCCATATGAGCCCTATATGTACTTGTAAAACCAAAATTATGAAACCAAAATATTGCCGATAAACATAATTCGGATTGTAATTTAATAATTTTGAATAAAATTAAAAAACTGGGAAGGTACCTATTTCAATAAATTGAATAGTTTTTAAACAAGTCTATAATTATTATTTTTTTTATTGTATTGTAGATAATATTAATTAATAATTATTAATAATAAATATTTGAAATGCATATTTTTAGTGCATATCTTAACGCTTATTATTGTGTTATTAAGTTCTGTAAGTTCTGAACCATGGTAATTATATAAATATTGATTATTATATGTTGTACAATTCAAGTATATTTTTTTTATACAATTCTTATATAGAAAATAAGAAAATTACCTTCTACGATTTTGCTCAATGGTGGTTCACTTAGTCTGATACGTACAATGGACAATTTATTTATCATCAGTGAACTGGGCGAACATACAACCGATTCATAAGAATTTATTTTTATAAATAAAGCTATGAGTAAGTAAACGTGTTTAGCCATTGAATCTGCAAACTAATTTATTTGAGAACAATACTAAATCAGAAAAATTGTACACTAGAAAGCCTTTATAATGAATACTGATTTGTATAATTACCGAACTGGACTGTGTACCTACTCCAGTGCTTGCAACTGAGAAACCAAGGCTCTCTAGAGGGCCACTTGTATGTTACGGGAGAAAAATATTTTTGTACAATAATTTAATATTAGAATATAGTCAAGAAAAAATTCCCTGTTGTTTTAACAATTTAGATTAAAAAATTGTCTACTTTTTAGACATTACGGTTTTATTACCTTAGGGAGTCATAACAATTTTACATTAAATTGAGGAGGACAAATTATAAAAAGTTTGAGAAGCACTGTATCTACTTTATTGGAATATTTCCCCCCGAAAACATTTTTTTAGATTTACTGCTCATGCTGCTATGGTTATATGAATATTGATATAATACACACACACATATATATATATATATATATGTGTGTGTATGGTCCATGCAGGTTTTCGGTTAACGGGTGAAACCGGATTTTATTTTTTCTCATTCTTAAGTATATCATAATGTTTTTTGGCAAGAATGGTTTCAAGGAGTTAACCAAATTAATTAAATTAATTTTATTATATAACTATTAGGTACATAATTTTTCATTATAATTTTCTAGTCATAAACTCTTATATGATGGTAATATTACAATACTATTTATTATATGATTACATAGTTATTAATTTTTAACTTAGTTTTTAAATCTGTAGTTAGATATAACTCTATAAAAAAAAGTCTAATTTAAAGAATATTAAGTAGTAATTGTGTTAGTAAATACAATACCACTAGAAAGTTTTATTTTTGCAAATAAATCAATTCATATTGATTTATAGTTGACATTATGATAAACCAAACTTTATTGCTTGGGCTAGAAGGTTGCCTAAAATTATACTTCATATAATTATTGAAAAATACCAAAAACAACTAGTTATCTATATGTGGTTTGCACTTATTAATAATAATAAGGTAGGTACATTATAAAATATATTGATCCTAAGAAAATTTAAGTTAAAGCAAAAAATATATATTTATACCACGGTGAATGGGTTACTTCGTTACCAAATAAATCATAGGTACTTACTATGTTGTATTTTGTTATTACGATTACGAGGAGTTTTACTTCTATGAATTAATCAATTTAATTAATACCTAATTAATTATGTTATAATCAATGGTTTAACAACGATAGTTTAGAATTATATTAAGAATATCCATTTTTATTACCTAGAAAAGGTGTCGTAAGTAAAATACTCAAGTAATAAACCAATTAACTGTTATACGATATATTAATATATTAAGATTAGATTTTATGATCCTTAGATCTTTTACCTGCTTTGGAAAGCAAATACTAGCAACTGTTTCTATGTTTTCCAGTGATTTATTAGGACTGTTGGTAGTTTCTAAAAAATGTTACTCATAATTAGTTTGATTGACTATTTGAATTTATTATAAAAGGGTCCTAAAAATAAGGAGGTAGGAAATTGAGAACCCAGAAACTATATTTTTTGAGATATTTTAAAAATTAGCAAACTTTTTACTTGTTTTAAAGGAACTAGGTAAAAGAGAAAAGTGTTAAAAATAGATTACTACCAGCAAAATAAATATTTGTATACATCAAAATAAAAAAAAATGTTACTTGTGAGTAATGATGCCAAAATAGTCTTATTGATAGCATTTTTATTGTTTTTGGGTCCAGTGTAGTTAAATGTTTTTTTTTTTTTTTTTTTTTTTTAATTTGCTATTGTCGGGATCATTACAGCAATACAATTAAGTGGTAATACATGATGATTTATAAAACATACGTTTATATAAATCAAATTAAGACGCCAATGGATATTATAAAATCAATGATGAAGTTGATGATATGGGTAGAGCGAGAGTTAAGGATAAGATTTGAATCGGGAGTGAGATAACCTAGAGTGGATAGGAATGAAAAAAGGAGATGTCTACTAGGAGAAAAAGAGGGGTAATGGAAAATAATATGGTTGAAGTCGCAGACTGTTTCTACGTGGTGTAGGGTGCATAAAGGAGATGAGTTAAGAGAGAGAGTATAAAGGAATGATGAGCTAGACTGTAGGTAATTCGAAGGCGGGTGAATGAGACGATCGGGTGTCTAGAGATCTTTAAATCTTTAAACCAAGGAGATTTTGAGACCATGGGAATAATATGCCTGTGTTATGCGGCATAATTAGGAGGTAAAGAGAACCATTTAGATCTTGCCAAGCATTTCGCAGGAGTTTGCGATGAAAAGGGAGAAGGTTGGAGGCAGGTATTTTACAGGTAGACAAATTTTTGTTGAATTTAATGAGAACGTTAGATTATCTGCTTGTTTATTATCCGCGATACCCACATGACTGTGGATCCAGAAAAAATTTACTGATTTATTCTCCAGGCTGAGATGGTAAGCTAAGGACTTGATGATAAGGATAAGAGGGGATAGAAATTAATTAAACAAATCTGAGGAAATAGCAGGTAAACATGATTGTGAATCGAAATTGATAAGAAAGTTGTTAAAGTTAAGACAAAAAATAAATTGTAGGGCGTTAATTATGGCGTAACATTCAATAGTAAAAGACGAAGCAAAAGCGTTAAGTTTATTAGAAAAAAAAAACATTGAGCGTAGAGATAAAAAAGGAAAAACCAGCAGTTATTGGACATAGAGCCATCAGTAAAAACCAGTGGAGAGCTAGGAAAATTAGCAAGGATAAAATCATTAAATAAAGATTCGACTAGGGTATGAGGAAGACGCGGTAATTCTACAGGAGAATAACCAAGGAAATTAGGAGTGACATTGTGTTCCGGTGCAAATAAAAGAGCGGCGTAAGGGGTGTCATACAGTTGTAGTCGAAGATCCGAACAGTAGATGATAGGAGAAAATGAAGCGAACGAATAAGCTATGGAAGCAAGGATGGGAAGTGTTTTGGAAACATAGGATCAAACAGTTTTGATGGAAGCAAACATTTGAAATATATAGTGATTAGGTGAAGATAGACATTTAAGTAAAAATTTATTGGCTAGGTGACGGCTTCTAAGAGTTCAATCGGAGGATAGACACATTCAACCTCTAGGCTTGCTAGAGGGGAGGCGTGTAAAGATCCAATGATGGTACGAAGACAAGATGCTAAAATTAAGCTGATTTTTTCCCGATATGTAAGAGGCAGAACCAAAAAAAAAAGAACCATAATCAGATTTTCTTTAATGACGGTATTAAAAATTTGTAAATGGCATGGGTGTGAACCCTAACTGAAGCCAGCTGTAGATCGAAGTTGAACCAACAAGAGAGCACCCTTTCAACGTACTGAAAATGTGAGATCCATCTCAATTTGGGGTCGAGCTTTAGATCTCAGTGATGGAAAAGGGTAGTAAAATAGCTTAATTTTCAAGTATCAAATGAGATTAAGCCGTGATCTGTTTACGGGTGAAAATCATAAAATAGCTCTTCTCAGGAGCTATAGTGAAGAATGAAGCAGAGAGTTTAGTGGAGAGAATATTTAAGGCATTATTTAATATATTAACAGATCTGCCAAGAAATTTATCGGAAGAAAATAAGACAATATCATTAGCATATAAAAGAGCTTTGAAGTCTAGGGAGAATAGGGACGAACATATGAGGCAAATACCTTGAGGTAACCCTCTGTACGTTAATCTTTTAGAGGTGATTCCAGAAGGGGAGGAGAAATCAAGAAAAAGCTGAGAAAACATCGAAGAAATTAAGTTACACACAGAATTGGGGATTTGAAGAGAAGCGAGGTGAGAGATCAGAGTAGGAATATGTATTTTTTTTTAATGGATTAATTAATTATGTTATTATGACATAAGTAATAAAATATACTTATTTGATTCTTGCTTTATATGACACAAAGTCTAAGAACCAAACATAACAAGGTCTATATAATTTAAATTAATATAAAATTAACACTAGTACAGTCAGTGTCAACAAAAATATATATGATAAGTATTTTAAATTCTACCTACTTAAGAGCAATTTTAAGATATCATCCAAAATAAAAAAAATTTAAAATGTAATAAATAAATGTTTTATTACTAACTAAATAGTTAATAATCATGATACATTAATTATATAATGGGGCTTTCATTATGAGTGTTGTCATTTCTTCTTTGATCTGGCTCTGTAGGTTTTTAGTGTAATAAGCAAAACATAAATATCAATTGTTAATAAATTATAATGATAATTATCATAACTAATCCTTAAGTTTATTAAAAAAAATAACATTGTCAAACAAAGTCATTAATTTATACTTCTATAATAAAATCAATTATACATGTATTGTATTTATAATCAAGTAATATAGGTACTTTAAATAAACATCATAGAATAACACAATATTATATTGGAACACAAATAAAATTAATGTCCTAATACTATTATAGTATATTTTCAAGAAAGATACATTTTCTATTTTTTATTTTATTTTTATAATTCATTGCAACATAGATAAATAAGATATAATAAATATGGTAGTCATAAATGTATATTTTTTAATACAATTAATTTTATATTTATTGTACTTAAAATAAAGTAATATACTTTAAATGAACATAATATCATAAAATTACTTAATTTTATAATGTAACACAAACAGAATAAATTTCCAAATACTTATAAAATATTTTTTTATATTCAATAAAAATTTAAGTTTTTTTTTTTTTTAATAGTAATATTTTAAAAATAAGCTGACATACATACTTTAAATAATAAAAAAAAAACAGACAAATTATATAACCCCATTTTAAAATTTAAAATTATTATTTATGAGTAGATTAATTATTTAATATTTAATAGAATACAACTTTACACAGGTATTTTTTTAAATTTTCCTTCCCCAAAAAGCCATAAACAACTTCGGTCCATTACATATGAACCAAAACCATCTAATACAAGCACAGCAACCAAAATAACGCGAAATTCATCAGTAAATTGTACTATTTCAAAATGCTCATTGAGTTCTTCTACTGTACCCATACTTAAACAAAATATGACCATAATTGTTCCAAATGTACTGTACAGTAGTGGCTTATTTTCTACTAAATTTTCCATGAATGGTCTTCCTCGATAATTTACTGAAAAAGTACAAATTTGCAGTGTCATAGAAATGATAAAGACTGCACTGTTAACAACATTTGGTTTAAATTCTTCATCTGAATCTGTAGAATTTATATTAGTGACATTTACATTAGACAAACTATTATCTGAAGATATAGTATTTATAATATCGTCTTCAATATAATCACCAGCTTTTTGGACTAAGTATACTAAACTGCAAAAATGAATAATAAATTGTAATAATACAGTTGAAATTGTGTATATATTGAATATGTTTGGCAGTGGTCTTTGTTTGGATAAAACCTTTAAAGGTTTTGATCTTGAAATAAATAAAAATGAAGCAGCTAATAATAACCCTTGTAATGTAGCTTGAGAATCGCTAAATTTTATACCTTTGACATAAAGTACAGACTGACTATAAGCAGCAATAAGAGCATTCAGTGCTAATATTTTGAACATCTGAAGAGTAGTAACTAGTGTACAACGACCTTGTTTAATTACATGACATACACATGTCACAGAGGAATATCTACTTGTAAAAGGAGCAGCAATACTAGCATCTCCTGATTTTACCACAGTTAGAGACTCTTCATCTATTTCTTTCATTAATCTTTTCATTTGATTACTAACATTTTCACCAGGTTTTTTTGATTTATTAGCAAACATATCTTTTTTAACTCTTGATTTTTCTTTACCTCTCGCAAGTATAGCAATACCAACATGTGCATGTTTTAGAGCACCAACATCATTAGTACCATCTCCACACATTAAAGTAGAATATCCCAATTCTTTCAACATAACCACAATAAATTCTTTTTCTTTAGGAGCAACTCTTGCAAACACACAGACATGTGGTATAATTTTTTTCAGGATATTTATATGATTTTGATTAAGATAAGCTAATCCCTCTCCTGTTAAACATAAATCATATGATTCAACTAATTCTGTAATATTTCCATGCAAAGGAACTTGAATTTTGTAGCTATCACTTATCCAATACCATATACTATCAATTTCTGATAGTGTCAAAATTATGTGACTTGAAGATCTTGTGAAATTTAACTCATTAGCTACATAACATGCAGTTAATGCATTATCTCCAGTTATCATGGTAACCAAATGAGATGAAGCTATCAATTCCTTAATAACAGCTTCTGAATCTTGTTTCAATGGACATGAAACTACTACAAACCCTGCAAAATGTAAATCACATTCCAATTCTTCTCTTTTTAAGTTTTTCAAATTATTTGTATCAATGATTGTCATTTCTTTTCTAGCAAGTGCTAAAACTCTAGCTCCTCGACCAGCCAATTCCAAATAAGTACTATCATAATTTTCAGGGATAGTTTGTAACATTGATTTGATTACTTCAGGAGCACCTTTGACACTTGCTATATGTATAATTTTATTTGTTATCTTTGGACACTTGTAGGCAGCTAAAACTGACATTCTTTTTAAAGATGAAGAAAAATAAAATCTATTCAATATTTTCAGAGGAGGTATCTTTGATTTTTTTGGAGCAATAAAGTCATTTTTTGACAAAACCCAATTTATTGCATTCAGAGAGGCTTTTTCAATAGGATCACCGACCACTGTGTCTTCTAGCTGAACTAATGAATGACAAGATGCTAGAACTTGAATAGTATTTTCAGGTGCTTCGTTCATAGGCATCATATCTTTTTTAATACCAGCAATACCTTCAACAATTAAAGCGTCTTTTGTTAAAGTACCAGTTTTGTCAAAACAACATATTTCTACTTTACCAGCAAATGGAATTCTAAATGGTTCAGTACAATATATTCCAAGTTTGGATAGTGATAAAATTGATGAATTAACAGCTAAAGACAACTCAACTGGCAATTCTGGAGGTATAACAGAAGTAAGTATAAGTGTACATTCAAGGAATAATTTATAACGGCTTCGATTTGGATCTTCAGTTCCTTTAATCCATAAATAGGAAGCTGCAGCAACAGCAAAAATTAACAAAAATAAAATAAATGCTAATGTTTCCATATTATTTGCAGTTACATGTTTGACACCAAACAATATTGTTTGCAATAGATTACCTTGTGATGTATTAAAACCAGTTCGTAACACATAAGCAATACATCCATTATCAGGAGAGGCACGTACATTAGACGTAACTTTTACAGGAGAAGTATGTTGTACTACTTTAGTGCCACTAAATAAGATGTGCAATTTTTTATCAGTTTCAAAATCTAAATTTCTCTGAAGATCAGTAATATTTTCAATAGGTTCTTTCATTTGTGGAATGGATTCGCCAGTCAATAAACTTTCATCAACAATACAAGAACCTCTTAATAATAATAAATCACAGGGAACATTTTGGTCATTATTAGCTCGAGTAATAGAAACTATATCACCAGGAGTAAGTTCATCACTTAATATAGGATGCCATTTTTTATTACGGTAGACAAATAAATTAATGGGTTGATTGCCCATATTGCGGATTTCTTCCATATTGCGTAATTGTTGTTTCACTAAAGTACATTCAAATAATATTAACATAGCTAAAGTGAACAAAGAATAGTACCAATATTTATCAAAGCACCACAGCGCAATACAAAATACTTGGAATACAAAGAATGGAGCTGTTGCCCTTTCAATAAATAAATCATTAAACTTTGGTAATTGTATATTCAGTTGATTTCGACCATATAGTTGTACTGCTCTTGCTAATTGATCATCACTATTAAAGCCTTTACAATTTACATAATGTTCAACTGAACAAGATATTGGAAAATCTAAAGAATGAAAACATTTCTTATTATCATTCCATATGTACTTGATTTCTTGGTATCTAAACCATATTATGGTCTGCAGATCTTGGTCTTTGAATGAGTTCAATAATACTAATTCTGTAAATCCATTATTTGGTGTTGGGATTACTTTAACCAAGACAGCTGACTGTGCAGAAAATACTTGTCGGCATGATAACAAGCATCTAAATGAAACGGACCAGTAACAACAGAGAGAACACAGGGCTTGAGCGATAGCAATGGCTAATATACCAGGGAAATAAAAGTCGACTAGATCAGCGGTGTAGAAACAAAAGTATGACCATGACAAATAAAGGATGACAAATGGAAAAATAGCACCATGAAACGCAATGCGTCTTGGCACATACAAATACACTGAATCGATCAGGTTGTCTAAGGCCATGGTGATGAATCGAGTTACAGTGAGTGATGCACTATATTTTATGTAATAAAGTGGACTAGCAAGTGAAAATAAATACGACACACGTAGAAGACAGTACTTCAACGTGCAGGTCCATCATCATACGACACGAACTAGCTGAGATAAAGTCTGTGATGATCTTACATGTCAGAAAAACCTTATATGCTGTACGTTACCAATGATAACGAATGAGTAGGTTAGTGGGTTGGACGACGATCTCTGGAAACACTTCACAACGAAAGCGATAGCGGCGACTGTTGCGTTGCAAAGACTATTAAAATAACGGCGACGACGACGGATGGCAGTACTCCATAATGTTCGATCAAAAGTACAGAATTAAACTCGACTGACTAGACACAATTGGAGATGAACGAATCTCGACGGAATTCATCCAATTGCAAACATTTGAAAAAAACAAATATAAATAAAATTGTAGCCGTATTATCATCTTTATCGCGATCGACACGCACTCACGCCGATAAACGATAACACGAAAGGCGATCGCGGTTATTATCACGGCCGCCCAGGACAACGACGACAGTGCAGCTTCATACGGGAACCAAAACCTATTGCAGACGCCGGGAATCGTTTCGAGTTTATCGATCGTCAAGTGATTAATTCATTCGTTTCTCGTCATTTAAACAATTGGTATTGGCGAATAAAGATTTTGCCGTTACGTTAAGATTTCGATCGATCGCTTAAGATCGTTGAACAATTTACGGCTCTGTTTTATCATACGGTTCACATACATTTTTTGCAACCCTCGTTCTGGACACACTGCCATCCGCCACGACGATTGGTCAGAAATTAATTTGGACTCGTGCTTGTGTTTTTGTAACGGCTAAACAAATTGTTTTGATCCTGTAATCCTCCCTTCCAAGTTCTTATTCACATACATCCACCATTCATCATTCGCGGTGCGGCACTGTTTCTTGATTTGAAAATATTGAATAACGGTCTTCCCTTTTTTGTATGTCTTATTCACGAATATTGAAGTTTACTTAATACCTATTACCTTTTATTTGTATATTGTTTTTTTTCTGTTACTGTTTGGATTAATTATTTATTTTCGTATCCTCCCGAATACCGTATTGTAATCGAAGCTCATCTCTAAGTACTACGGACACGATTCCTAATAATTCGACGTGACGGTGTATGTTTTTTTATTTTATTTAGTTTACAAATCGTTTTTACATTCATCACTTAATCACTTACACACAATTACCCAACACTTGTCATGGCTACGAAAAAGTAAGTTGTTATTTTATTACTTTTGTGTGAAAGAAATATATTTTTATTTTGATTATTAGTTGCTGTTAAGATCCTAAATACATTAACACTATATTTTCGTTGTACTCTTTGTTCATTGAGTATTCATGATTTGATATCAAATAACTTTTTACTTTTTACCCAATTTTTTACATGTTTCTGATGTGAAATATTCTACGAAAGAAAATGTCTATCTTAAATAAAAATCTAGCAATAAATGCTTCATTTTATCATGATATATTTTTTAATTTGCAATATTTATTATAATTAATGATTTAATAAAAAATATATTAAGAAACATCTTAAAAATAGGTACTAGAGAAAATTTATACCAGTTGAGCTGCTCTTGTTATTTTATTTTACTGAAAATAATTTTTGATTTTATTTGTAATTTTAATTATTTTTTTGAGCATAAAATTATCATTCTTATATTCCTAATCAACCTGCTGAGTGCTAAAATATTGAAAATGGTTATTTTTAGTGTATTGTATTCAAATGTACTTTTAAATTTACTTAATTAATTATGTTGTATGTTATTGTAGTAAATTTCGAAGACTTTCAAAAGAAAATCGAATTCCTATTGGAAAAAAGAAAGAAAATTTAGATAAAATTGGAAAAAGTAAATTATTATATTTATATGTCTTTAAAAATGAATACATATTTATTTGATATAGTTGCTTATTTAATAATTGTTATAACTTCCAGATGAAGAACTAGACTTGGTAATAAATGCAACAATTTCGAAAAAAAAAAATGTTAACACTAAAAAAAAATCTAATGAATCTAAACCTTTAAAAGTCATCAATCTCAATGTTACACCTACTGACACGTCACTAACAAAACCCAATAAGAAACCACGAGCAATACTAAGTACAATTAAAGAATTAGAAGAAAAAGCATTAAAATCGATGATTATCAATAATACTAAACCAAATACGGTTAATATTTTAATAAATGATACACCTATTAAAGATATAGAAAATTTAGAAAAGTCAACAGAAGTGATAGATAACCTACAAGAAAATATTGATATAGAAGATTTTAATAACACAATCAATGAAATGAAAGTTCAACAAACTCCAGATATTGTTTTAAGTCCTTATGTTTGTACAACACGTGGTCAGAAGTGGAAACCAAGTCCTCGTAAACCTCCAAAAATTTCTGAGCTTATTGTGAAATATGAAGAAGATAATGTTGCTGATGTTTACAAGTAACTGTCATAATTACTTAAATAATAATATATAATTATTGATTATATTAGTGTAGTTTTTACTTCTATAACAACTAGAATTTTTTCACATTCACAAATAATTTAAGTAAATTTTTACCCAATAATATTAAATTGAATAAAAGCTAAATTTCCATATATAAATACATTTATTAAAATGAAATAACATAATAATAATATAGTAATAATTTTAAATATTTAAATAAAATAAACAATAATATAAATTGATTAAACTGTTATAAAGTTTTAGTTTATTTTAGTTTTGTTTTATTCCCATTTTGTAATAGTCTAACTTTCTTTTATTTATTTTCTTATTGATAAGTTTTATAAAAAAAGAGTATTATTTTGTAAAATTTACTTTATTTATTTGATCTAATTTTTATATTTTAAAATCTTTAATAGGAGTTTCATACTATTTGTTTATAACATTAATAAATTTTGTCCAAAAATCACCTGAAATTATGTATAAATTTACTATCTTAATAAAAGTATTATGTTATTTCAATCCTGCATTGTTTAAAACAAATCTTTGAAAATATCTATAACAATAGTAATAATTGTATTTAAAGAAATAATATCAATTACTGCAAGATAAATTGACAGTAGTATATATAATTATAATTCTTAAATATATTTATAGTTTTTAATTATTATTTTATGTTAATTTTTATCGTGCATTTCTGTATTTTTATAAAAATTATTTATTAATTATATATTGAAAATGTTGCAGAAAAAAATTGGATGTCAAAACTAATGACCTACAAAATAAAGTAAAATATTGGGTTGAATTAGCCTCAGAAAATAATGATATTCCACAAGTAAGTTATAAAATATTTACTTCTACATTATTTTAGTATTCGTTACAGTTGATTTTATTATATATTTAGTTAATAATTTTAACATTAAACAATGTATATGTATGTATGTTAGTATTTTATTTTAGTCTGTTAAAGATGAAATAGATGTTGTTTGTGGACAAACAAAACTTTTAACAACTGATAAATTTATGCAAATGCGTTCATTGGTTGAAGAATTTGATAGTAATTCAGGATCAATGCCTATAACAACAAGTGATTTAGATGGTTTTTGGGATATGCTATTGTTACAAGTAAATATTTGTTATAGGTATTTAATGTGTAATACCATTGATTATAAATATTAGTATTTACATTAATGGTAGTATATATACTATAAATTAAATATTCAAAACAAAATTTAGGTTGAAAAATTAGAAGGTCAATTTAACCAACTTGCTATATTAAAAGAAAATAATTGGGTTCCACTTGAACCAATTGCTAAAAAAGTAATTAATAAAGTATCCAAAATTAATAGACGTCCAATGGTTAAATCTAAAATTGGTGATTTTCTTAAAAGTAAGTTTGAATTGAAGGTGTATAATTTTACTATATATATTCAAATTATTAAATTTGTTATATTGTATTAGCTAGTTTTGTTTTATCGTGTATTGATATCTAGTCAAATAAATATTTAATTTTAATTATTTTTTAACAGATCAAAAGTCAAATTTTAAGAACTTAACTCCTAACAATAAAAATGTTGGTAGTAAAAATGCTTTAAAACACTCAAAGTTTAATGAATTTAAATCATCTAATAACAATTGTCGTAAGTTTTTTTATATTTATAATTTTAATTTTGGTAATTTTGTCTAGTAAATATATATACTAATAATTAATTTAATTTAAATTAAATAATTTTACAACATTAATTTTTAAAAATTATTAAACTTAAAAAAGGTGGTTCATTTAGGGGCACTTTTTTCAAAAGTAAAAAAAAAAAATCCTAACCCTAACCTAACCTAACTTTTATTTTTGTTATATTATATTTTTTAAATGTTGGCCATAATTGCAATGACAAGGTCCGTTAAAAAATTCTAATTTCCAATAACATGTCCAAGCATTTATTTTGGTATTTGACCAATGACTTTTGTGATGTTATCTCCCAATTTATCTATTGTAGTAGCTTGGTCATGTAAACTTTACAGAGTCTCAAAATAATTAATTTTTTGAATTGCTCTTCATCTAAAATATAGCAGTCTTACTTATTGTCATTAAGCCAAAAATAAGCCACATTGCTAAACAACATTTTGTTTAAAAACCGTGGATAAATAGTACCTTTAAATGAATCACTTGTTACATTCATTTTCAAATGAAATTTTGTTTAATATTACCAATTTTTGAGTTGAAATTATTTCCTTTTTTTTTTTTCAACATAATTTGTATTTAGTTATTTCTAGTACACCAAGTTCTTCAAATGAAAAAACTGTTCGTTTTACTCCAGTGTTATTGAAAACTTTAGAGTTATCATTTGTTGCTCGTAGATCAGGTATGTCACCCATATGTTTAGTCGAGCCTCATGTATCTCCATTAAAACCAGCATTAAAAAATGGAACCAATAAAAAGCAAGAAAAAGGCATAAACAGTAAAAATATACATTTTGAATCTCCTAAAGTAATCTCTGATGGATTTATTACACCTGAAAACTCGAACAGTGGTAAATATTAAATAGCATAACATTAATAATTTTAAATATTGTATATGTTTAGTGTTTTGTTTGATTCTAATCTGATTATTTGATTTTTTACAAACAGAAAATCATAATCGCATACAAGATAGAGTTAATACACCTCATACTATAAAAACAACATCCAAAGGAAAAGATAATAAAATTTATGTTGAATCTAATGTCAATTCTACTAAGTCTTCAAATATTAAAAATACTAAAAATAATGTCAAAACTAATAAGATGACAACTGTAGTAGAGAAGTTGTCTGGAACTCAAGAAAGCCAACAATCAATAAGACGCTCTTCAAGACTAGCTACTAAGCCCTCCATAAATTACAAAATTTAATGTACTTATAATTACTATTATTATTATTATTTTAATTAAATTTTTTATTTATTAAGCTAACAAAATGTATAATTTAAAACAACTTTACCGGTGTGTAAAACTTTTTTATTATAATATATGACTGTATAGATATAATGGCAAAATCAGAATGATTAATTTTTGTTTGTTAAATGTTTTATTGATTTTTTTCAAACATTTTTCAAGCAAATTGTAAAAATCAACTTTTTACTAAAAATATACTTTACCTCATTGATTTTTTGACATTATGCTCTTGTACATATTCTGATGTTCTAGCATTTTTAAGTAAACCATATATTTCTTATTATGAAACCTACAATGTTTAAATACATTCAAAATTAGATATACAACTTTAGTAAGAATATTTTCATTTTTATAATTCATGTTGTGATGAATTTTCAAATACAAATCTAAGGAAAAATGCATTATGAATTAAAAATAATGAACGTTGGGTTATAGAGGTAACTTACTAAAAATAATCTACCTTCTTACATAGTTATATGTAATTAATAAGGTTCGGAAGTTATTTCATTAAAATGGATTGCATTATTGCAGTAAAAAACAATCAAAATTTGAATATTTTAGTAAAAATTTCCAAAATTGCAATACATGTTTATTTACCAAAATGGTTATTTAAAAAAAAAAAAGATTTCACTGCATGATAAATGATTTCTTTAAGTTCTCGAACTCGAAGGATATCCGATTTGATTACAAGTTGTGTAACTCGTGTATTGTCTTGTCAAATAATATTTTTAACACTTCCACCACAATCCACTAAGTTCGAATTAATCATTTACTATTATATTATTCTGACATATTAATTTATGACAACCCATTGTTATTTATTTTCTTACATTAAAAAAAAAAAAATTAATCATGTGAATAATATTTAAAAGTATCCACAATTGTATTATAAACAAGAATAATAATCAACAAAATTGTTATCAAATCGAAAAAATGCAAAAAGTTTCATTCAAAATATTTAGATTTTAGTTCGTACTTGCATGGAACGAATTTATAATATGTATGTTTAGCAATAAATCAGAATAAAAAAAAAGTTGCAAATACAACTTCCGAGGCATAGTAGTCGACCACCTTCAACCCTCAAGCGGTTTATTCTTTTGTATTAGCTACCCTCAATTAATTTCTATCTTTTTTTTTGCCTGTTTTATCATTCATTCTTTCTAAGTACTTTTCATTGCAGATGAACAACTAGAAAAGATATTGTTGTACTTGAATTTTACACTACGGCGTTCTTATTTTTTATTTAATATATTTTGTAAATATTATATTATACTTTTTCACGTCCAATGATGGTTGTATGGAATGTGCGTTACTGGCCATTGTAACAATGGCGTTCCTGAGTGAAAATGGGTAACATTCTACAGATGATGCTGCTGCTGCAAGCATGGCTGACCCAATCAAAACAGGATCATTTTCTGTGGAAGTACATACTGGTAGTCCCATGACATTAGCTTGAGACTGTAAGAACACACCATTTTGACCGAGTCCGCCACATACTAAGATATCTTGTACGCTCAATGACCGTCCGCCGTTTTTCTCCATTGATTCTATAATATGTTTAGTCCCATACTTGGCAAAGGGACAATCAACAACAAATATTTTATTTATTTGTTTGAGATTAACAAATGCACAAATGTTATAACAAAGAATTGTAGCGTTGGAGTAGTAGTAGGGATATAAAATATCTAATTCATTCATTATATTCACCAAAAAGAAGTATTTCAAAGTCCATTTAACTGTTCAACTAAGTCATAAGAAAAGAAAAATGAAAAAAAAAATTAGGTACTGTACTAGTTCCTACAGTGGTAAAATGCTGAGGAATTTCTATGGAACACAAAAAAATAAACACCCCTTAGAACTGTTGACTGTTGTGAACATAATCAACTTACATTTTAAAAGGATAATGAGTTAAAATATTGAAGCAAACGATAGACATTTTTATGAAAAAATATCACCTAAGCATAATCTTAGGGTCACAATTAAAATTACTATAATATTATGTATATAATGTTAATGTAAGCAACACTTTCAGTTAAATCGAAATTTTAAAAATTCAACGCTGTACATGATTATAAGTTCATAAATATTTATTATACTTTCGATATCTTTGTTGAGTATATTATATATCCTTCATTTACTTACACACAATGCCTGAATCGTGGCCAAATAAATGAGAGCTAGGTTCTCTAGATCCGTAGAAAGTGTCAGTCCAACTACCTGAAATGTATTAAAAATTATTTGTTATATTCGACGTATGAAATAGATCTGCTCGTTACTTATTGCATAAATGCATCGAAAGGCTTTATTATTCATATTATTCTATTAAGACGAAAGAAAAATAATTTTATTCCCCAAACAGAACTCGCCTAATCATCACTTTAAATGATAAACTCATACATACACATCGTGTAAGACCCTTGGACCGGCCATACACGATGCAGTTAGAGAGGTTTATTACCTGCGCAGGTAAACCGGAGCGTGTATGCAAGCTTATTTTTATATAACTGTACAGATTTTGAGAACTGTACTTACAGTTCTCCAGCAAGGTCATATTTACCATTAAATAACTATGGTCTTCGTTATTAGGGGGACTCGTATTTTTATGAACTTTTTTATATTTTTAGAATACAACTTTCATCGTATAAAATATAGTATTTAAAAAAAAAATTGCGTTACATGCCATATTTTTTTATTTTTCCTAAGGGCCTCAAAATGCCTAAATTATGTCATGTTTTACAGAAAGAATTGAAAATTTATATTTTTTGCTTACACAGTATCGCATACCGGAACGCGTATGTGGTTTACCTAACAACTGTACAGATTTCAGTTCAGTTTTGTGTATTTCTCCGTTCATTCATTTTTAAAATTATTTAATTTAAATTTAAAATGTTTGCACTCAGTATATCAAGTCGAAAGCGCAATCAAATAATCGAGGAGTTTATTGAGTTATACCAAACAAAACCTTGTCTATGATAAGTATGTTAAAAGTAAGAATTATCACTGTTGCGTAAAAAGAGATACAATTTATAAAAAAGAATTGAAAAGCATAAGGTGTCCGAGCTGATGCTGTAAAAAAAATAGTTGTAAAAAAAATTTATAATTTGAGATGTACCTAATGTATGTAAAGAGAAAAAAAATATGAAATGCCCAAGAAATCAGGGGCATCACTAGACGAATTGTACAAACCTACGCTGTGGTACTAAGATTTATTTAACTCCCTGGGTGATCAAGATATTCAAGATAACTTTACGCGTTTTTATTTATTTTTATTTTTATAATTAATATCTAAAACTATACTAATCACTTCGAGCGCGTCCATCATCTTATTTGTATGCTATGGTAACATATAAGCATGGGTAGATCTAGGGGGAGGTTCAGGGGATCAGCTTACCCACAGTTAATATTTGTTGACAAAATTGGCTTCTTGGATATTTTTTGCTCTTTTTAGACCTTGATTTGGATTCTTGGGCAGTTGGCCCATCGGAGTTACTTGAAAAATGAATGCCATGTATATTCAAAATTTAAAATTTTTCAATTCATAATTTATTTTTTAAATTATATCGTTTTAGCAGAAAGTTAAGTAAATCATATTTTATTCCGTACGTTTATTGCGCTGATAAAATTAGATTATATTTATTAATCGTAAATATGTCATTATTGGTGGTATCACTAATTCTAAAATATAATATAAATATACTTATACACTTTTATGAGCATATTGTGTTTTTTTTTTTACAATGTATTCATTTCTAATTCAGTTTCATCCCTAATAAATGGCCTCTTGAAATGGTTTGACCCACAGTTCCCCGACTCTGGATCCGCCCCTGCATATAAGGTTAACTGATGGTTAGGTTTGCTCTAATAATTTGACGATTTACTCTAACGTGCGTTCCACATTGTCTATATTGTTTCACCTATACTTTTTACCTGCACAATTTCCTTGCGTAGGCAAGCCGCATCGTGTATGCTCGGCCTTAGAAATACTTTGGTCATTGAAATAATTATGCTAACCGACGGTGTTCCATTTCTTGGCCAATGAAAATCCGTATTAATTATTTATAAATACTAATAACCCAAATAATTGACATGTCATATTATAATATTAATTCATCGATATCTTCAAAAGTTCTATTTTTCAATTATTTTCGCGTGAAATCAATATAAAATCAAAAATCTTTAATCTTTGGGTAAAAATATTATATCAATTTGATAGTCTTGTTTAGATTAACATACAATTATAACAATATCACATATTGTGTTATTTCTCAGTTGCTGTTATTTAATTTGCAGATTTGCATTATGTCTTCGGTTTTCGCAAAAATATTGTACAATTATTTTACCATAAATCAAGTTCCTTGAAATTTAACACATCGTAATGATTACATAATATGCAAATTCAGGGCCGTGGGGAGAAATCAAGGTCCCCAAGCAGTGGCGCAACCAGGATTCGTTTTCGGGAGGGGTTGTGAATTTGGAAAAAGAAAACATTTTTGACAAGTATTTGGTGGGGAAAAGGGGGTAAAATTAAGTTAGGTTTATGAGTAAAATATTTAAATTACAAATTAAACTGTTTAACTTCTATTTATAGATAATGCACGTTGGAAAATAATTTACCCTCATTGAATATTTAAATAGGTACCTATTTAAATAGGTAAACTTTATTCATAAATCAAAGTCTAATAAGTAATAATATAATAATTTACATTTTAAGATTAATTCTCCATGTAGAGTGCTTTGCCATTTCATCTATCACCAAATCTGCTTTAACTTCAATATCTGTATTTATAACCTGTAGTGTTACGTAAATAAGTTTTTAGTCTCCTAAGTGTAGAAAATGACCTTTCTCCTGTAGCCGTTGTTACTGGCAATTTAATTAAAATTTGTAATAGTTTTGAAATTACTGGATACACTTGAAAATCACATTGAAAATATTTATCTATCAGAAATGTTTTGTAATGTTTGACTGATTCCTGGTAATCACAACTTTGGTACCACAAGTCTAATTCTCCAAAACTTATTTGGTCACTTACAATAGAATCAGAACAGTCATTTAATATGCCCGCATACAAATTTAAAATTTCTTTAAATTCGAATTGAATTTCCTTAGTAACAACTTTTACGCCTGGCTTTGGTAGTAGACAAATGAAACTTTTTAATATGGTTTGGTGTTCCAAAAATTTATTTTTCATTTGGTCCAAGAAATTGTTAATAAATGGAATAAATATTGAAACACGATAATAATGTTTTGGACAGTCAGTGGCTACATTTTATCTCATTGATTGCTTGTCTGTGATTCTCGGAACACAAATATTAATATTTAATTCATTACAAGTATTTTTAGTTTTCTGAAATATGAAATGAAATTGGTTATCAACATTATTTATTATGTTTTGAACTGCATACTGTGTTTGACAAACAAAATTTAAAGTTTTTTCCAGGTCCAAGTTTTCAGACTAGAGGAATTTGCTCAATGGTGCACTTAATGAATATATTTTTACTAAAATACTCAGAGAAATTTGAAATTTAAATTGATGTATTGAGGTATTTAACTGGTTTGCTGTTGTAGATTAATCTATATCTTTCCATTTATATATCTCATCTAGAGCATTAATAACGGCAGGCTGGATCTTATGGAATATCAATACTGCATCATGACGTTCTACCCATCTTGTAGTACAAAATTGCTTTAGTTTTGATGATTTGGATTCTGGTACTATGTTTTTAATAGATTCTTGTAAAATATTTTGCCTTTTAGGATATCCAAAAAATGTACAAACTGATTGCATTATCCCCATAGAATTCCTAATATCTATTACATTACAGCTGTATAATATTGCAAGGTTAAGGCAGTGAGACATTTCATATTGTCATGTTATATTTTTTATCAATTATAATATGAATTACGATAGTTGTAGATATAATATTATATCTACCATAGACCTAATATGTCTATGATATTTACAACCGTCATACGAATAATATTCATGTCAATTGACAATCCACCGTTTCGCGTATTTAAGATAAATAACTTTTTTTCCTACGTAAATTTTGTAGAAACATCAGAAAAATTTCGGGGGGGGGGCAAAACCCCCCCTAGTTGCGCCACTGTCCCCATGGACAAATTTAATTATTTGGGTAGGTTATTAGCACAATTCATGTTAGTGATCCATAAATAGCTCGACACCATGACCAAGACGTAGTAGACTTGATCAGGCCTCGGGCTTTTTTTGAAGCCCTACAGCCCTGGCTGCCCCTCCTTTTCGTCGGGCCTGTGCATATTATACGATATATGATTGCTAAAATCTAGTGCCGTATCAATATACTGAGTGAGCAAAGTTTTCGAGATTTATTTTATAGATACAATCTGTATGAGTATATGTATAGGTACGTAATTACTAATTATAATTGTATCTATTGCTATGGAGGTCTAGTTCAATCAGTATTTAACTAGACCACCTATATTTATTACTATCATATACTTCAAATATAAATTAGGTAGTGAATAAATGTTGAGAATATTTTTGAGATTACTGTGGGTATAGTTCACTAAATATAAAAAAGTGAACATAATGATTATGTAACTGCAGTATTTTTATATATACATAGGTGTCAAGTTGTTTGTATAATTTTTTTATTTAGCCTTTATAGCCTTTAATGGGGAAAATTCCCTGATCGTACCTCCGTTGAGGTTATAATTAACAAAACAAATGTGTATATAGATATTTGTTACCATTCCTTTGAGTGTGGGATCCGCCACCGGCGATCGGTTGCCATGGAAGTCTGGGTACACGTGAAAATCTTCGGTCAACCTATCGATCGTATCTAAACCTCTGTCTGCTGCCATTTTCACCAGCAATTCGTTTAGACAATCTTCCGGTCTCCTTTATATATATTAAAACAACAAACTTTGTGACTTAAGCTTATTGAAAAAGAAATCGATTATACCAATAATTGATATAGAAATTTACATCCATACCAATAAATCATAACTTAGCGAATTCATATTTTGAAATAATTATTGTAAATTTAAAATTTAGTCTGGCAAGCATTTAAGAAGGCTTAGTATATCTAATAGGTTAGGTATTACCTATACTAAAGGCAGAATATTACACAATAGTTAATTTTTTATTATTTTAATTCGAAGGTTAATATTGTTTGTGTACATTTTTAATATAATTTTGGGCGGAGCGATGGAGGGCATTTTTAAAATATGCTACATCTGAGCACAAAACGTATATAAATGCGCGCTACTTACCGCACTAGAGTGTAGCATGTGATACGGTAATCAAAATATATTGGTTAAATTTTTAAATATTTTATGAAAATGAAAAATTCAAATAAACCTACTCCAATTACGGTGAATTTGTGAAAAATGCTTAAAATATGAAATGGTATTTGAATGTAGGTACTATAGTCGGTTATATGAATTCGTTTAAAAAAATCCTGATACATTTAAATATACGTATTAATGGGATGTGATAGATTTAGACACATATAACCATATATATTTGTATTGTGACAAATGCGGTAAAAATAATTCGCCATCCTTTATACAGGTACCATCTATACTCGGATTGCCAATAAACTTACCTACCGTCCGGAATCTTCAAATCCTTAAAAGCAGGATGATTGCTGATGACGTGGTCGATAAGTTTGCCCGTGGCCGATTGGCCTCCTTCCAGCAACCACATTCCCGGCACCATGGCCCCGTAGTACGGTCCCCAGACGCCGTCCACGAACACTTCTTCGTCGCTGAGCAACATGTGACAAGTTGATGTGCCTCCAATCATCACTGAATTTGCGTCATGAAATATAAGAACCGATTTTGAATTTACGCGTACAGTGTACATGCTAAATAATACAAATTTGCCGTTTACAAACTACTTATGCATTACAGATTGGCGAAAAAAAAACATTTTCTCCACGCCATCCTTTTGCGTGAGTTTATTATAGTCCAGTCGATTGTAATTTGTATAATATTAATTAGTAAAATGTCTATATTGGTAGAATATATCAGAGTAGAAAAAGTTTTAATAAGTTGACTGCCGAAGTATTTCTATAGGGTTGTCCTCACACACCATGAATACCAAAACTGGTACTCACTGATTTTTTCACGTATGCCATTATATTTTTGAATGGTTAGGTTGTAAAAATTACACGGGACACAATTAACATATATAAAAAAAATAAAATAATACTCGAGAGACAATTTACATCAAAAAGGTACAACGGGACTTAACTTACAGTCACCCAATATTTCATACGTTGAGAATTTTCAATACTGCAAAAATGTACTCAAGCCAAACATTAGTGAGTGATAATTTTCATAAAAAACAGGACATCAAAGCACGTCATATATGTGTAATAATAATAAATAATATTTACCCAATCTGTTTTTAAAATTCGTTAAGTCTTTCAATCCTACTCCAATCATTCCCAATCCTCCGGCGTGTGCGTCGATTAGAGACGTGGCCACCGGAGTACCGACGACTAATCCCATTTCTTGAGCCGCATTCTTGCTCAAGCCATTGCCACAAGACTGCCCGGGCTGGAGTATTTCGTTTCCTGTTTAACAATGTTGTTGGTTTTTTTTTTTTTTAATATGTTCATCACATTTGAGCGCGGAAACATTTTTTCAGAAGAATTTCTTACCTATCGCGGACCAATCATTCACGCTCAAGTCTCCCAAACCAATGCTTTCGAAATATGAGCGATCCCAATGACCACCAGAGGACCGTTCAGCACAGTACGTCCATTTGCAGACCACAGTACACAGCGATCTGCAGTAAACAATGTAAGAATTTGTTAGTTACCGAATATGAATGCGTTATAGCAAATTATATAGCATGCGTGTATAGATGCTATTTGCTAACCTGGACAGTGCATTCGTGGCTTTCCAAGTTAGAAAATCAGGCAAGTCGAAAAAACGGCCCACTTTGTTCCAAAACGTTTTATGCGGCAAATTATTTTTCAACCAAAGTATTTTTGGTGTTTCCATTTCTAACGATATTTTACCTCCAACATACTTTAATACTTGATGATGAGTCGAATTAATGAAATCCGCCTCATTTCGAGCTCTATGATCCATCCACAATATTACGTTTTGTTCTTTTTCTCCTATAATAAGTGTATAGTAATTATTTTACACAGTCACCGGAAATAAAAAACAAAATTATGCAGTATATTGCGTCTCTCGAAAAGTACAACTTTTCATCTCATGAACTAGTTTCTGCACTTGTCAAAAAATGTAAAACAAAATTGCAATCAAAATACATCCAAGAAATCAAATTAAAAAAAAAAAAAAATAGTAAAATAATTGTAAATATTCAAAAAAATGTTGTTTATATTATTTATATATCTATGTTTAAAATATTTTCTCACCGTTTTTGCTCACTGATATCGGAAGTCCGTCAACGTCTACGGCTACCAGGGAACACGTAGCATCAAATCCAATACCTTTGACTTCCGAAGATGGTACTTCTTCGGTGACTTCCTGTGTGCGAATAGATAATGTACATAATATAGTAGGTACGATGTCCATGTAAACGTTTACCGTACTCAACACAATTGAAAAACAAACTTCGCCGTGTGTTGATTATGTTCATACGAGTACAATTGTCATGATTATTAAAATTTATAGGATATATACATTTTACGTTTCTACATTTCTTACCCGTATGACTTTGCAGCAACATCGCCATATGTCTTCAGATGATTGTTGATAGTAATCAGTCTCTGGATTCCAAGTTTTAATAGCGTTGGTGGATTTTTTCAAAATTCGCCCAACGCTATCCACTAATGCCGCTCGGACGCTTCCAGTCCCTACGTCCACTCCGACATAATACATTATTACTAAAAGAAAAAAAATTAATATAATATAATAATATTATAACATTGTTATAACAATAGTTAAATATCGAGCTAACGTGTTTAGCTAAATAAATAAAATGACGAGGACAGTTTCTGAGAAGACAATTTATTAGCAGTTGCTTGATTTGATTTTTTTTTGATTAAGATTGTAATTTATATCGAAATAAGTTATAACGCTGACAACTGACAACTGAAATACAATTGGTTAGACACATACGGTAGGTAAGAGAAGTTATGTAAACCACTACTTTCGATTTGAAATATTAATAAGCTTATAATAACCACGAGTAACGTGTTTTGATGCTGAAGTATAAACTGGTTAAGATGAGAACACCACTATAAAATGTGTTACCGACTTATAGTTATTATTGATGAAATTATACTTACAAGAATAATTATGAAATAACATACAATATTATATCGTATCGTGTTGATGATGAATGATTATCAAAATTGATTATTACAGAGTAGGGCAAAAATGTAACTTAAAATCAATGCACATCGATATCAAAACTCTATATTATTTCACTCAATCCGAACAAATATAAAGATAACGCGTGAAACAAAATATAATCACATCCATATTCAACATTGATTAGTTTGTCTCGTGGCATATTTCGGTCATAGATCCGCTGAAAATGCATACAGAAAACATTGGGAAATCGGACAGATAGAGAACCTATGTGTATTCAAAGATGAGTTGTTCGCAGTGGCAGTTACATAATGCCGTGAAATATGTCAAGTGAAAGTTTATAAGTGTAATGCGAGGAAATAGTAAATTATGTGACTTTTTATTATATTACCGGACCATTTATTGACTTCGATGATATTCTTATGAGATTTGCTCGTTTTAACTAATGATATAGACTAAAATAAAAAAGTGGGAGTCGTGCGGCACATACATAACGTACAGACAAGTTAAGGTAAGTGTATAATTATTTTAAAAATTGCGAGTGGTATACAAATCGAAAATAAATCCATTATTAATGTCCACATTTATAAACGTGATATTGGTATATTATAATATCTAGGGTCTAGATAAATATACGTTCGGTGTCACCCTTTGACAGCGGACACGAGTGGACTCGGATTCTGATCCCTCGACACTGTTACACTGTTAGGTGAACAGGAAGCACGGGAAAATTACCTTCTACTTCTCGCAACTTATGACAGGCTAAGGCTGCTTCAACCAATTTTTTCACCGAATTGGCCGTTCCGTGTCGGTCGGTTCTTCGCATTGTGGTGGTTACGCTGAAGAAGAAGGACGATGCGTTCCATACGCTTATGTGCTGCGAAGGTTTTATCATGACAGGAAACGTCTCGTCTACTAGGAGTTCACTAAGAGTCCACTAGTTATCGGGTTACCATTAGACTCGAGTGTTCTGATTCTCTTAATGCTGGAGAACCCGTCCAACTGGGCTACGGTTACCCGTTTCGCGACAGACGTGTGATGGCCGTCAAGGAGGACGCGGAATGCGATAGATAAGTTCGACAGGACATGGCTCCCACACGACGGGCGGGAAGGAGAGTGGCGGGAAGGTGGGTTGTCTAACTTAGGTGGCGGGTGTATCACTCATTTTCTCAGAAAAAAAGAAAAAAGCACTTAGATAAATAAATATATTTTTATTTTGAAAGATAAATAATTATAAATCAAAGACATTTGTTATAATATTAAGTTATTGCAATCATAATACATAGGTACCTACTGATAGATCGTAAACCCATAATCAATACAGTTATTATCGTATTATCTTATTGTTTGAAAATACCCAATAAAAACTCGTTTTACAAAATTATCTACATCTAAAATGCATTATACTTTTATTTATTAAATTATAAAACTTAATCTAATCCGAAAAGTGTCTTCACTGGAATATTTCTTTACATTACAACAATAGTTAATATTTGCTCACCCAATGGTAATATTTTTCATCTATTTTTATAATGATGAATAAACAATATATTTTAATCACATTTTTGTCTTTAACGCATGAGCTACGCATATATTTTTTGCTGGTCTATTAACGGTTCTGTTTATATTTTATGTTATTACTTACTTATCATTTTTTTTTTTGTTTTTTTTGGTAAAATTCCACATGCCATGACATCATAATAACTCAAGTGTGTATATATGGTTAAAATAAAATGTTTATTTATATATAAACATATCTACTAAAACCACAATAAATAGGTTTGCATTGTTTCTTCTATTAGATTTACAATTCCATATGTAAAACGCGTTTACCAGATGTGAAGTAATTTTTCTAATTTTCTATTTGTTTTTCAACAAAAGTAATCATAACAAGGTAATTATTTAAATATATAACGTTTTCTCTTTTCTATTTGTTCTCCGTTTACACTAAACATATGTTATAACACTTGCATGATATTACCTTGTAAAGTATAAAACCACGCAGTTTTTTTATTTAAAATTTGTTCTAAACAAGTATATCGTGCTCACTTAGGTATAGCTTTAGGATTGAAAAGTTTAACGCAATGGGAAGTTACACATTTCACGTGGCTGTTATAGCAATATCGTGCATAGCACTACAGGTAATAAATAAATATAATTATATCAACGCATTATACAGTAGTATTTTTCTGAAGTTATTGAAGATATTAATTCACAATCAGCAAACGTTCGTATCGAATGAAAATCCGGATAACTGTACGTCTATTATACTCGTAATACGCCATATGTATCACTTGTACGCGTAAAATTAAGAAATTGTCTTCGACGTCAATTACAATTTAAACATTGCAAATGAGTTTCTTCGTTTGTAGGTCGTAATGTACTTTGATAAGGTTAGCGAAGAGTGAAAAGAGTTCCAAACAAAAATTTTAATGGCAAAATGGAATACCAGATAAAAGTATGTAATATTAAGAATGCGATTCACAGTACGACGATTACATTTACATTTTTACAGTTAGAACTACATGTAATACGCATATTTAATTTTATAAACCACGTCTGTAAATTATATAGTTGGATTTTTAATTTTATTTTTTAAATTTCTGATTAATTGCTTGTTTGTATATAATAAGGTATGTCCAGAGGGCGTATAACGACCCGTAAAAGTTTGAGCGACTACATAAGAACTTCTTTAAAAAAAAATTCCACAAAGATTTTAAATTTATTGGAAAAACATTCCGTGAGGGCATTCGCACCACTACTATAAAAAAACGATACTTATTTTATTTCCATAAACATGTAGGTACAACGTAGTCTGACAGCTCGACAACTCAACGTGCGTGTCTATTATATCCTACTTATAGAAATTATAAATGCATATAATATCCATGTCAAAGAAAATGTACTATTTTCAACTAAAATCCTAAGAGAATAGTAAAAATAGGATGGTTTACTATTTCAGAATATATAAAATTAATGATTTATTTCGGAAAAAGTACTCTATTGTGATTGAATGAGAATAAGGTGTGATATGAAGGTGAAGGGATATCGGAGCAATGATTTACATACGACATGCGAACAAAAATCGTAATGCTACATTAAACAGGTATGTTTGTGTATACAGGGTGTCAGTTATGCCGAGTTGGAGAGCAACGAACCCTTTGAGTTGGATGCACCAGAAGAAGTGGCGATACAATACGATTGCGACGAATACCAAGCGAAGATCTGGGATAAGGCTTTAGACAATATGGCGGCAATGGAGTTCGTGAAAAACACGTTAGGAATCATCAAAAAAGCGGGCACTAACGAGGTGTGTTCAGACACGATCCGGTCTCTTATAAACTTCATCAAAGTGACGGGCGCCAGTCCGAATGCACACTACTCTTTTGGAATGATGATGAAGATGATTGCGGTCATTATTAGAGAAATTGACACATCCGGTACGTCGGACCAGTTGAAAGAGACCGGAAAAGTTTTCAATCAAATAGTCGGAAATAATGACGCCCAAGATTTGACGTTGAAATTTATTAGAAAGTCCATGGATTTGCTGAAAAATCCAATGACAAGGGAACGATTATTCAAAATGCTGAAAGCCATAGAGAACGCGATGAAACCATCCGAAAGCGAGATGATAGTCAAGAACAGGCTTAATCAAGTCAAGGGGATAGCCAAAGCTCCCGTAAGCATTGTCAAGGGTGCCTTCGGCAGAGTTGGAAATATGATGCGATCTGTCACAAAATAAAATAATTCTCGTAAAGAAAAAAAAATGTCCACCCCCTATCAATTCCTAGTCCAGTCAGTTTCTTAAATTTTGTTCAAAACTTATGTGTGATATACATATATGATCTTTATACATGTATAAGTTATTTCTCATTATTTTTCTTTAGCAATAAATTATATTAATATTTAATGTTATTTTCTTATTTACACAATTGATTATTTAATTAAATTATAGATTTATTATAGAAAAAATACTTCATTGATCTTTAAAGATAAGTACTTAAAATAATTAAAATATTAGTGTAACAAAACAATTCGTTTTTAGATAATGCCTTTCTGTAATAGCACCTGCAGACAATTAAATTAAAAAAAAAATTGTTTTTCAAGTGTCTATCATAGTAATATAATACTTTTCTTGAATACTCTATCCATTGTTTCTATCACATTAATGTCAATATTTTCTTTTATCCTTTTAGTCACAAGTGTTACGGTAGTACAAAATCAAAATCATATAGGTATATAGTTGATTATAAAATGTAAAATATGTCAGTTATAGTTATAATAATAATTATCATAATAACTTCAAGTTATAAATCAATAATATTTTATGAGATGCATATAACGTACAGCTTAATAGATACGGTTACACTGTTATTAACAATTATAGATTATACGTGTAATTTTTTTATTAAAAACAACGCTTAGCGGATTTATGTGCATGTAAATTATATGAGGTAGGTATAATATGAAATGGGTACGTTGAACATGCTTATAAGCACGTTTATCAACGATTATTTAATATATTAATAATTGTTGATAAACGACTTTTACTCTTAGGCACAAAACAAATAATACTGAAATTATTCCAAAAGCTAAAATTATTTAAATAAATACGCTTATACTCGCAAAGTGTATAATTAAGTAGAACAAAAGTATTTATCCAACGTAATAACATTTACTATAAATGTATAACCAATTAAAATACACGTGTTATTGTACCAAATACTAAATGGCAAATGTATATATTGTTTTTTTTCGTAACATATTATTTTATTTTTTATTTATTTATTTATTTATTTATTTAAAAAATACGGGACGGACCCTATAATACAAGAATAAACAATATACAATGATAAAAAATAATAGTATAAGCTCTAAGTAAACGAGGCTCAATTTTAGAGGGAGAATGAAGGGTCAGTGTTGGCAATGTGCATAAAGACAGATGATCGGTGAGTAAGGTATCATAGTAGTTTGAGGAAGATAAGGGTATGCGGAACGGAACAGATGATCGTGTGCGGCGACAGGGGATATTAATCGAAACACGAGATAGTGATTCGTGACTGTCAATTTTAGAAGAAAGAAGATTAGAAAGAAATGCAATGTTAACTGAGTGACGACGGTCAGCAAGACTCTCTAGGGAAAGTAAGCGTTGGATTGGTGTGTAATCATGAGGTGGACAGGATATATTTAATCTGTATGCAACGTGACGGAGGAATTTTCTTCGAACCCTTTTAATCATACTACGTGCAGAGGCGGTGGACGGGTCTCAGAGTATGGTTTCATACTCAAGGAAGGACGAACTAGAGAACAGAAAAGAGTTTTTAATGGAGTGAATAAGTGAAAATCTGAAGAAACACGATTTATAGTGCCAAACAGCTTAAGAGCTCTACAAGAGATTATTTGAATATGTAAATTAGGTCACAAGTTACATGTTAAAGTAAATCCTAAATCTTTTACAGAATTATTACAAATTTTCAAGGGGGTATTGTTGGCGGAACAAGTATAATTTAACACAAAATTAATTCGACAAAAATTCATTACTGAGAATTTTACTGAGTCCCAAAGATTCATCCCATGACACTAATCGATAAAGGTTGTTTTGGAGTAGATGACAGTCAGAGATAGATTTGATACAAAGGAAGATTTTCATATCATCAGCAAATATAAGAAGTTTGGCATGTTGAAGGATGGAAGCGGCTGAGTTAACGAATAAAGTGAACAGAAGCGGAGAAAGAACAGTACCTTGTGGTACACTCGATAAGGGTGTAAAGTGGTCCGAAGAAGTGGAATTAACAGTTACCCATTGGATCCTGTTTATAAAATAAGAGCGAAGCCAGGAAAGTAGGGTTTCACCTATGCCTATAGAGTCAAGTGTTGACATAAGATGATTATGATGAACACGGTCGAAGGCCTTGGAAAAATCTGTATACATTACATCTACTTAGCAGTTATCCCGGAAAGAATCAAATATATATAAATTAAGGCTAAGATTACAGGTAACAGTTGATCTACCAGGACGGAAGCCATGGTGTTCATCAACTAGGATATGATTTAAGGAAGAGCGAATCGAGTTAAGGACAAGTGTTTCAAATAATTTCAATAAATTAGGAAGGATAATTATTGGACGATAGTTTGTGACCATCTGAAGAATCACCGGACTTCAATAATGGTCTAATTGAACCAAGTTTAAAAGCAAACGAGAAGATGCCTGAGTCAATAGAGCGCCTAAACAATAATCATAACGTTCTGCTAGAACAGAACGAAGTTTGTACAAAATCACCCTGTATACCATCTGGACTAACAGACTTTATATTACGAAGGCTATATAAGCATTGGTAGACGTCACTTATCAAAAAATGGAAATTTGACGGGAGCAAAAAGTTATTGATAGGATAGAGATATTATAGAGTATATTTATTTTATTACTTATAGAGTATAAGTAGGATATTATAAATTACTCTTCATTCTATGTTCATTCATCAGTGTTGGATTATGATCATGAAATAAGAAGGGTAACCTTTTAATTTTGGTGAGGCCATTTCACTAAAATAAATTTCATTTTTTTTAATTAGATTTAGTGATTTGTAATAAATATTAATTAAAATAAGTGTAATATACTTGTATGTTTTAGTACAGTCACAATTGATAAAATAGTAATTAATATTTATTAACCAATGATTATAAAACATATTGTGGCTCCTTTAAATTTGCGACCCAGTGTTATAGGCCTCCTTTGATCCAGCTATGTCACTCATAATTTCTCCTTATAATTATATCATAAAGTCCAGATGGACTCAGCAATAAGCGAAGATATGTCGTGAAATCGCGATGAAAATCATTTTAGCCTACTGTTTGGTTGATTGAAAATAATTAGTGATGTAATGTTTGTAGCACTTCATTTTTATCAGCATTCAACACGTGATTATGCGATCATCGTAAATGGAGTATGCGATTATAAGAACAAACACAATTATTTCAATCTCAAATAACCGAAAAGTACAGTACACATATACTACTAACGCTAAAAAAATACAAAATACGAGTACTTACAATCTTAATTACTTCTTTCGACTTTTAACGTATGTGCTTAATAACCGTCAAAAACGACGTTTAACGACATTCACAGCGAAACTTTCTAAAAAGTCAAAGTGTTTAAATACTCGGAGTATGAAAAAACAACTGACTTGTGATAGTCACGACCGAGTACTGACCGACTTAAAATAATGCCTATCTCGCTTGATAAGAGGTAACCGACACATTCGATATTTGATTATAGTTATATGCAGAACATGTAAATATAGAGGTATAAGATCACCAATATTTAATTATTTAATGTTTTAATCGAACTATCGGTAACTTTATTCGAATACTGGACGTCAGTTAAATGTTTTTAAAATACGTATTGTACCGTATGTTATATGAACCGCCGATAGTAGCGTATCAAAAGAAAATAATTAAATGAATTAATATACTTCATATTATTTGAAATATTAATGTACACCAATTATAACAATATTATATTTTTATTTACATACTTTAGTAATAAACAAATAACATAATTTAGCAATACGTAAATTCACAACCATCACAATCTCATGATCTCAGAGATCGTAAGAATAATTCAATTTTCGATTTTTGTTGATTGGATCAAGGTTTTTTAGCGAGATTGAATAATTTAATGGGAAATTCAATAATAACGTTGGAAAATTGCATTATTTTTATCTAACCTTATCGTTATAGTATGTTTGTTAGTAAAAATTAGACGAAGTACTACTAAGTACATCGAACACTGTTGGTTTTAATAATGTAAAGTAGATACTTAAGAATATTCTTGTCAACAAATGAAAAAGAAAATGTACTTTTAACAAAGACAACACTTGATTTATAAAGTACATCGAGTATATTGTAATTGAACGCTTAAAAAATAAAATAAAATGTATTATAACTGATTATTATTTTTTAAGTAGTCTAACGGACCGTCTACCAACTGAGTTCATACAATATAGTTTATTTTTTTTAAATTTTACCATTTACTTTAACTACGGACTAAAATGTTGGATAATTAAAAATGAATGCAATGAAAATAAGCTTTAAAAGGTTAAAATTAATAAAACGTTAAATTCGTGATGGCTTTAAGAAAATAACTCAACTAAATTAACTAAAAGATATTAGTTATTTGTCTAATACAATTTTTCTGTGACCAATGATTGATAAACTAATTGGTTGTTAAGAATGATTGAAAAATAGTAGCTGATGTGATATATGTATTTAATAAGCTATTTTATTTTTTTAGGATATGGACGATGTCATCATATTATTTAAATACTCTTTCTTAAATACTGTTTCCATTTTTAATATCCATGATGACTATGGCGGTACGTAATCATGTTAATCAATCGCATGAATAAAACATATGAGATTCCGTCTTAATTAATTAGTACATTACGAATAGAAATTATCAAACTATTTCAACAAGTTACAATTAAAAAGTAGAAAATATCATAAGATTTTAAATTCTAGAAAATTATTAAAATTCCGAGTCAAGTATTAGTATACTTTTATTAATCTACAAATTTTAAACATGGATTTACACCTATTGCAGCGATTATGATCATATTGTTGTATGAAATACTTTTAATTAATTACATTGTATAATAATAACGTTTGCTAACATATCACAATGTGCGTCATAAAATAAGGTTAAAGTCAATGATAAATTTGTTTGAAATCGGATTCTTGTAGGTTCATAATTTAACAACATATTTTATAGGAACTTACGAGGTAATACAAAAATAAAAATAGAAAAATAATTATATAGTTTTTATATGATAATAATGTGTACTCGTATGCATACGAACGGCGTTGTTTAACTCATAAGAAAATGTATTGTTAATGTCTTGCAATGTTATACTATTCACATCGCATATCCAATGAATTCAAAAGGGACATAGTTTCAGTTAAAATATACAATATTTTAACACGAATACACATACACATACATATATTTTTTTAAAGTCACCTAGGAAATAAGACAATTTTGATTAATGTACGAACTCTTTTCCTCCGTACACGCATTGAAAGGGCTGAACCTAGAGACGTCTACTATTTTTCTCTATTGAATAAATAGAAAATCGTTGAAAATCCCATGGTGGCTATTAACGCATCATATATGATGTGTCGACATTATTTATACAGAATACATCGTATATTCACACGCTCGTACCGCAAATACATAATACTGTTATCTTTGATTTAGCTATAAAAACATACAACGTTTAAGTTTTTTATCCTAAGATAAAAATTATACAAAAACACTTGTAAGAATTCGTCATCAGTTCGCGTGTGACATTCAATGTGCACACTTCTTGATTGCTCTCCGCGTTCATTTTTCGTTGTAATTCGTATAATATTTGGTGAAATGGATCAATATTGTACTTAAAATATACATCGTTTCCACGAAATTATAATCAAAAAAAAAAAAATAAATAAATAAATAAATAAACCTAACTTTGATTTGTAAGATTTTTTTTTTTTTTCGAAAAAAGTTAAATAAATAATTGTATATTATATTATCTCATTACAAGTACATCACCATATCAGTATTTTGGTCGCTACAGTACGCCGACACATCTTGTGTCATCTTATCGCACGCTGCATGCGGTGACATTAACTCGACCGTACGTCATTGGTTGACAAACATCTTAATCAAAAAAAAATCTGTGAAACAAATCTCAATTTGTAATCTCTTCGACGAATTCAAGTCAGTTTTCAAAATCCTTATACCATAGAATCGATACATCGGAAATAGAAAACAATCTTACCATTCAGTTTAACAACAGACAAATAATGCAGCGTCGGTTTTATAAGTCGAGAATTCGCGGATAAGTATAAAAAATTCGGAAAAAGTCACGAGGAAGGGAAAAGAAATAAACGGACGGCCAGTAATCTGAAATCAGCGCACGTTTGCGGTAATGTTCGGGTAAGAACTAGAAAAAAAAAAAAATTGTAGGTACAAACGCCGGCACTCGACCGCGCGTGAACGATTTTTTTTTTCTTTTCAATCCCCCGTGTCGAGTGTTCGAAAAAGACACGATCTTCCCCCCCGAAAGAAACAACAGGATCGCGGGTTGTGCGTGTACGTGTGCGTGTGCGGGCGCGCGCGTACGCGCGGCGCAAGATACGGGTGGCGACGGACGAAACAAATTCGGATATGCTCGATCAACGGCGACGGCGGTGGCGGCGTGCGGGCACACAGCAACAGCAGGCAACCGCAGCCGCAGCAGCAGCAGTAGCAGTAGACGGACGACGTTGTCGCGACCTTGGCGCGAAGTTAAAGGAAGTCGGTTACTGTGCATTGCCGTGCGACGGATGGAGAGAAAAAAAAAAAAAAAAAAAGAAAAAGAAAAAAAAGAAGAATGCGCTAGTGTACACAAATGTCTACACAACTTGAATCCAGAAATACGATTATAATGCAGTATCAACGCACCAACGTGTTGTGCGTTGTGCCCTCCCGAGAGTGTCTCGTCGTCTTGCTCTCCCCGGCGTGGTGCACGGCCGCGGTGTTACACGCGCTCGTTCGACGACGTCGCGGTCGCTCGCGAAATAGTACACCTAACCAGTGTTCGTCGGTTGTCCGACGGATTTTCTTGCGGCTCCGGAACGGAAACTCGGACGCGGACATTTCCACCGGTGAGTACTCCACGATATTTCCGTGCGACAATTATTATTGCGCTATCAACACGCGTCTTAGTAGAACGAGAACAGTTTCTCGTGTTGCGGCTCAAAAGTCTTTACCGAACGAAAAAATACTTTTTGCTTTTTTTTTTTTAAATACACCGTAATAAATTGAACAGTTTCTGAAATCATTTCGGTAAATGCGAAACTTTCGCTTTTTACAACGGACTAACCACGCGGCCGACGAGTGAACGAAAATGTTGAGATAGGCACGAGAAACGCTCGTGTTAAAACAAACGGTATTCGGTATTTCCGTCTTCTCTAAACGAATACATTTCTATTGTATTTACTTGACTCATCGTAGTTTTTCAAACGTTGTTTCGATGCAAACCTTTTTTATTTATCGCTGTTTTGCACGTCACATGTATCCACTAGTTGTCAAATCTGTTTGAAAACGATCGGCTTTTTTTAACGGTAACGGTAAATATTGTTTCGGTGACCACGATAGTGGTATAGACTAATCTCCCGTTTGGGGTAGAAGAGAATACCGCACAAATAAAGGCACACCCGACCAAATCAGCATACATCGTATGTACGTATCTCCTCTGCACCGGGCGCTACCGGTGAATTATTCAATGCAAGTGCTAAAACTCGATTATAACGGATTAAATACCGGGACGTTTATCTTGCGTAAGAGACCAATAATGATTGATCTACCTACACGTTTCTAATTCGTTCCCAAACAATCTCATGCTTTGAATTAAAATTGCAATGATTTGCCGAATCATGCAAATGCGTTTCAATTAAATCAAAAAAACCGAATGACAAATTAACAATCGACATTATAGTTGAACGGTGGGTCCATTTAAAAAATACGAAGATATTTACAACGTTTACAGAATTCGTAGTAATTTTTTTAACAATCATTGTTCGTGTTAAATGGTCTTTTGAGTTGTTGTGGTTTTGAATCGGGGCGGCGTGCGGTGCATTATGTATGCGCGTAATATTAAGATTATAATAGATTGTTATCGATCTACTGGTGGTGATCGACGATCGCAAGAAAATCAAATGATTTCTGAAACAAACAAAACGCACGTGTTTCGTGCTATGACGTCATCCGTATTCACTCGCACAGACGCACGACGTACACACGAGGTAATTTTCGTAGACGATTATGCACCACCCTTCCATGAAACGCGTTCGATTATACTCGTATTTTTATTATTTTTATTATTTTTATGTCAATGAAGTGTGTATTTAATTTTATTCGAACAACGACACGTCGTGTAATTGTCATATAATGTTTAATTGAAACTAAACGACAAAACAACAGCATATAATTAATAATAATAATTTGTAAATTCCGTTTCTGGTCACCGTGTGTGATTTTTTTGCTCAAGCACGCGATTATACTGTACGGTGTTGAAGGCTATTACAGTATTTTGTTTTATAGTCGCATGCCGAGAAAATTTTCTCTCGTTTCTCGTCCCTCCCGAGTTCGATTACCATCGTCGTCATCGCAATCGTTAACTTCAACCTACTGGCAACTACTCTTCCTCGTAACGGATTTTAATGTTTGCTTATAAAATATAGTAGGGAGTAACATAACCCTTTTTGTATAACAATAAAATACCGATGAGTTTACTCAGTTTGATCGTCAGCGATTCGTGTTTTGATTAGATTGCGATTTAGTTATATTCCTCGTACACGCAGGTTCGACTGAAATTTTAATGAAACATTTTTGTTTCACAGGACCCTCTTTATAGTATGACGTGAGCAATGTTCTTTATGACTCCTTAGGGGCATGACATTTGACTCCGATAATTACCACGCGCAGACGGTGTTTTGTTTCATTCATTAAACATTGAATTTAACAATTCGATTTTTATCAAACAATTTCAATTGGTTGATAACTGAACGTAAAAACAGCAGACAACTTTCAATAGTTCAATGTATTATAATAGTTATGATTTATTAATTTTATATATAATAATTTTAAACATGTGACCTACATTTTAAAATTTTAAACTGAAAGTACCTATACATTTAAATCTATAGAGTAAAAATATATATTGACACTTTATACGTATGCTGCTCTAATCTGTCCAGCTATTGAAGATAAATATTTTAAATATAATTAACGATAAATATGCGGGTACCTATGTACTTATTACAAATTGTTTATATTCATTAATAGATTTTTTTGCGAACTTCCATAAAAAGTACTAGAATACAAATAAAAAACTAATTAGTATAAATAGTATAAATTAAACAAATATTGAAACTATATCGTTGTTCAAAATTGGGTTTTTGCTTTGTTCATAATATACTTTCTTGTTTGTGAATATCTAATGTAATTGTATCGTAACACATATGATAAAATTTCACTCGCATAATGCATTAATTAAAATACAAATATAAGTTTATTGTTTAATTTATATATACACATACATACGCAAACTCATATAAAGCTTACACAAAAGCGAATAGCGTAGTTATATTCTTATCGCAATTTCGTACTGACCTCTCTATACAGCTGTGTACCCATATATTTTTTTTCATTGATTCCTTTTATTTAACCATACATTTTTCTAAACCTGTTATACCATACGTATCCATATCCATACAATAAATACAAATATAATCACGTGTTGTGTTAAAGTTAAAATAATTTTTAATTCAAATAATTTCCTATTTTCCACAGATATGGGGTTCCGGGGAAAATATTGGACTACAATCGAACGCACCTGTGGCATGGTGTTCACTTACATTTTAGCTTTGATAAAACTTGTGTCTAATTTTTTGATCGGAACGAACAAACATTTCGAATATCAGTCCGGTAAGTATGTAATTAAATTTTCTTTAACTAAAATTGTGTGCGTAAAATTGAATCAATTCGTCATTATTTAATTTAATTAAAAAAACGGTAACTTTGAAAATTTGTATTTAAAATAGATGTCGTTTCAAAAAGATTTGTTGTTATTTACTTTTAAGTATTTTCCTTGTTTATTGTTTGTTAATAAACTTATTTTCGATGGTTCATGACATTGAAAGCATTTCAGTACTGTAACCGTATTCCATAACACTGTTTATAAACAAAAGTATAGGTAAAATTGTCGTGTCCTAATCCGAAAAAAAACTTTAATTTTTTCTTTAGTCATAATATGTTATCACAATGTTTGATAAAAATTATTTTTCAGATATATGTATGTGATATACGTGGTAATATATCCTGGTATGATAACTAAACAAAAGTTTCATTTTCAGTAATAAAATCCAATCAAATGAATTCACTAAAAGTTAAAATTAAATAATTTTTTATAAATTATGAAAACAAAACAATTTACAGTAATATTGTAGTTTAGATTTAACGCATTGAAATTTCCAAAAAAACTGTAAAACAAAATGTAAAATTGTTTTATACTATACAATTTACCTATATCATATAAAATAGTATAAAACAATTTATATTTTATCAAAAATATTGCAATTTAATTCATATGTTCGTATGCTAAAATTAATCTAAAAAAAAAAAAAAAACAATAGTGTCTGAAGCCGCATTGTAGGTATATATGAATAGCAACTAGTTTCAATAAGATTAAAGAATAGATTTATTAGGTTTTAGAATGATGGATATAAATGACTTGTTGCCTACTAAATCAATTTGTTTGCAAATAATTGGTTATATTCTACAAGGTCAATGACCTAAGTTTTGGATAGTAAATAATGGATTTTATAATGGATATTTTAATTTGTTTTAGATTCTCATAAAGAAGTATACAAAACTGTAGCTGATATACCAGGACCATGGTCATTGCCTATATTTGGAACCAGATGGATATATTGGAAATTCGGCCCGTATAAACTGAATACCGTTCATTTAGCATATAAAGGTATTGTAACATGTAATAATAGAGTGTATTATAAAGTATAATATGATATAATAATTTAATTTGAAATCTATTCTGAAAATGCCATTGTACAATTTGAACTCGGACTATGTATCTTACTTGAGTAATAAAAAAAATGAATATTTCACTATACTCGTAATATACAATGGACTTAAAATTATAATTATAAATTATTGTAATATTTATAATAATAAATAACTGAGGATCGAACATTATTTTTTAAACAAATGCCATCATAATTCATGCGTAATCAGGAGTGGATATAAAGGGGGAGGTATGGGGACTAAATCCCCCTTAATTCCCTTAGACATTAGGTAGAACCATACAGTATGAAGGTACTCAAAATATTTAAAATATTGAGAAAGACCTCAAACAAATCGACATGCGCAACGAATTTTGGCAGTAAACTCACTTTACTAGCCCTCCTTTTTCCATTTCTAGATCCGCATCTGCCCATAATATTGATTAATAATACAATTATATTAAGACCGTCATAAAATAGCGTTTTGCATATCTCTGTTAGTGTGAAATTAGTGCTTTGAAAATAATTGAATAATTTATCCACATTGCATTCATAGTACGTAAGTACTTAGTCAATTTAAACATGAATTCTATCAAAATATAAATTTCAAACCATGGAAATTTAAATTATGAAAATTTAAAATAAAATTGATCGATATTTATTTAACATGCTAATTTCTAAATTTCCGAAGCATTGTATTACAACTAAATACCAAACGAATCTTTAAATTAAAAATGTGTGCACTCCTAAATATTTTCGTGAAAAATATATGCATATAGATATTTACCTATACTAGGTAAAAACAAATTTTAACTAAAAATGTAATATTTAGATATTTTAGATCTACACTTAAAAATCCGAATATCTTTACGGATTATTATTTTGCGACTTCCTAACCTCGGATGTGTAAATATCGGGATAGACATTCAAATTGATCAAAAAATCGGATTATTCAAAGTATGTTAATACTTCCACAGACATGTTTAGCCGATATGGAGATATTATTCGTGAAGAAGCATTGTGGAACATACCGGTACTTAGTGTTAAAGAGCGAGACTTCATTGAAAGAGTACTCAGACATAGCGGAAAATACCCTATTCGGCCACCAAATGAAGTGACTGCGAATTATAGAAATTCTCGCCCGGATCGCTACACAAATACTGGGCTTGTTAATGAGTAAGTATTTATAATATTAAATGATATATGAAGTATGTTAAATTGTTATGATTAAGTGATATTTAAAAGTAGCATGTTAAAATTATCCTATATTTAAAAAAATTGGAATTTGTAACTTCAAACTAGCAAGATATAGTGCTTACTAGATTATAAATTTAAACCATAATTAAAATTATAATTTTTTTTGTTTATAAATTCATCGAAATCGCTATATTAGATATTTTGTTTTGTTTATTATGGTCAATAATTAAAATATAATGAAAAATGTGTACTATAATTTTATTTGAGGTATTTAAAATGTAAAGTCAAATAATGTATGCAGTGCCGGATCTAGGGGAGGATAAATGGGTATGCTTGTCCCAGACGCTATTAGTATAAGGACTTATAAAAAATAAAAAAAGTCATGACCACTTACAAAGGGTGCTGAATTTTTATTAGCCCCGAGTGTCATATTTCCTAGATCTGGCTCTGAATATATGTTACTATTTACTTGTAGACAAGGTGAAATTTGGGCTAATTTAAGAAATAAATTGACTCCGGAACTTACTAGCCCTAGGACAATACGTAATTTTTTGCCAGAAGTAAATCTGCTAGCAGATGATTTCAATGCTTTGATTGCTCAAGCAAGAGACAGTAATAACACAGTTAAAGGATTCGAATCTTATTGTAACAGAATGGGATTGGAAAGTACATATAATCATGATAAATTGTGATACCTAGTTCAATCAAAAAAATTAAATTACATGTCATCCACAGGTACATGCACGTTGATTTTGGGCAGGAGATTAGGATTTCTAGATGGAGAGATCAGCGATACGGCTACGCGACTGGCGGACGCCGTAACTAGTCAATTCCGAGCTTCACAGGAAGCATTTTATGGACTTCCGTTGTGGAAATTAATACCAACCAAAGCGTATAAAGATTTCGTAGCGAGTGAAGACTCCCTATATGAGCAAGTACAACTTCTAAAATAATTTATATCAACATATTTTAATTTCAACGATTTCGACTTTAGCATTGTGTCTGAAATCGTGGATTCTGCGTTAACTGATGAACAGCAATCTTGTACAGACGTGCGCAGCGTATTCGTTTCCATACTTCAGGCACCCGGGTTAGATATCAGGGACAAGAAAGCGGCGATTATTGATTACATTGCTGCTGGAATCAAGACTGTAAGTTACCATGATATAGTATAACTATAGCTCAATATAGATCGCATAAAATCATTTAAAAATATCATTAAATATTAATTATGACCTAAGTCACTCAAAAACTAACAAATTTGAAAAATATCCTTGCATTTTAAATATTTATTGAACTTTAAATTTTATTTTTTAATGAACACACTGAGTGTAATTAATCATATATATCAATGGGAAATAATTTAATTGAAGTTAAAATACAAATTTAAATTTAGATAAACTAAAATCAACAAGGTTAGCAATTTTGGGTGAAATAATATTGCAAATGGAATTATGATCTCAAATAATGAAAAATTTTAAAAAATTTTACTTTACTTAATGGTAATAAAAAGTGTAAGATAAAAAGGCGAAACTCCAGGATCGGGTAAGAATCAAGGATGAATGAATGATATTGCTGTATTATTCTTTTAAACTTGAAACCTATATACCATTTCTCTTGATAAGAGAGTGGGAGAGGCCTGGTGGATCTGATTACATTTCGTAAGATAGTTGATATTGTAGTAGAACTAAATACTTTTAAAATATGTTTATGACTTTTTAGTAACTTTTTTTTTGCTTTAAATATAATATTATGAATAATCATGTATTTAATTATATTTACCTTAAGTATAAAAATTAAAAGTTTTATGAATTTTAAATTACAAAAATTAAATGAGTTTTTGTGATATTAATCGATTTGTCAAAATATTCAAACGCCCGTAAAATTACGGTGATTATTTTTATTAAGTTGAAACGATGAAAACCAAAGTTAGATAATGTCAAATATCGGTATCCCCTAAATTTTGTTCTTTTTTTTTAAAAATGTTCGTCAATTTTTTGCAATTATTAAGAAAACTGTTTAGAAATTCATAAAATAACAGCCGTTTAAGTAAAAAATGGATAACATTTTTAATCAGAAATTTCTCATGAGTGTAGCTAAATAAATAAATAAATAAGAGAAAATAACTTGAAACATAAATTTAACACATTCCACTTGTGATGACGTTAGAAAATTTATACGCATGAATGTGTATAATATTGTTTTCCCGTATTATTTTTTTACAGCTAGGAAATACACTAGTATTTTTACTGTACTTGGTTGCCAAACATCCGGATGTGCAGGAAAAAATATACGACGAAGTATCGCGATTGGCCCCATCCGGTACACCTATAACCGCCGAACACTTGTACCACGCCACATACTTGCACGCTTGTATATCAGAAGCACACAGGTATTAACTGCAATACATCATGCACGGTAAATGTAAGTACAGAGTGGGCCGCATTATTTTATGGCTTTTAAAAAAATTGTCAACACAGAAAAAACGATAAAACTCTATGACCCACTCTGTATAAATTATCATGTTAATTTTAAAGGTCAATTATAATAAGGTTCTCAACGCACTTTTCAGACTTTTACCCACTGCTCCGTGTATTGCCAGAGTGTTGGAATCCGAATTCAAGTACAAAAATTATAGACTACCGCAAGGGGTAAATATAATACTACTTCAGTGTAACGTGATATTAGTACCCAAATAACACTTAATGACCCTGTATGTGGGTGGAGTGAACAGGGTTAAATCACTAGATATAAAAATAACCGTTAACATTTTTATTTTATTTAACATTGTTGTTTTAATTCTTGACAGAGTGTCGTTTTACTGCACACGTGGTTGGCATGTTTGGATGACAATAATTTTGTCGACGCATATTCTTACAAGCCAGAAAGATGGCTAGACGAGTTGACAAAAAAATCACCTTTTTTGGTTGTGCCATTTGGATGTGGAAAAAGAATGTGTCCAGGCAAGCGGTTCATCGATCTTGAACTTCAAATCGTTTTGGCAAAGGTTAGTTAAATAGCGAGGCATTCAAGTCAATTTAAATTTAATTATTAAATTGTTATACATTTTTTAAGGTGGTGAAACAATTTTACATCGACTTTGAGGGAGACCTGAATACTAAATTTGAATTTCTTTTGACACCCAGCAACGCGAATTTTATTCTACGAGATAGAAGTTGTTGATGTTATTTAATACTCTTCTATTTCTTTAAATCTATCTACAATTGTTATACTTCAATATTAACTTCCAATTTTTATCATCTCGCTTCACTATTCTTATATGAGTTTTCAAACGATAAATTGTGTATACGTGTTTATAATATTTTTGTATCTATAAACGTTTAATAGTTAAATTATAGATGCATGTACACTCTTATTATTATTATTATTTTTTTTTTTAAATATAAATTGATAATTGATTAATTTTCATTTCCTTTTCAAATGTATACTATTATACATAATATCTCATATTACGTTTAAGTGTTACCATTCATTATTTATTCATGTTTAATACCAAATATTTATTTTCATATCATAATCTCAATTGTGATTAAAAATATATTTATATTTTAACAACTATTAAGTTTATTGATAACTAATTCTATTTAATGTATTTAAAATTATGTTTCATGTTGAAAATTATTACCAAAAACTTGTTATTAATAAAAAAAAATTATGCAAACGATATCTATTATATTATTAAAACATATTATTATTATTTTTGATTAAATATTATTATTATACAGTGTGATCACGATAAGTGGAAACACTCAATAACTTTGTGCAGGCTTCATATACCTATTTCAGTTCTGCTTTTTTGGCTTTCTAATAAGCATTATTATACACATTTTCAGATATTTAGACTATTTTTGTCACATTTAATTTCGCGCATGTGCACAATAACTTCTTTTTTTTTTATGATATGACCTATTTTTGACCACAAATTAATTTTTTCTGCATATTTTAATGAATTTTAGTGGTTGAATTTCTTTTCTAAGTAAAAAATTGAACGAGTTATAGCAACTTGATTTTATGTTATTTGCACAGGTATAACAGATTATAAAATACATAAATAATAATAATAAATGCGTAATAATAAAAATAAAAATAACTACCTAATCTAATTTATAAAATACCTGTTTACCTATTTTGTTTATCTTTATCAAAATTATCTCAGTAATTGTATCATAATTAATATCATATTTGCATGGGTACTAGTTATAAATTAAATTAATGAATTTTTCACAGTTCACATATTATTCTGCAGTAAATGTCACTAGTGGCAGTAACTAATAAGAAATAAAAATCAATATTTTGTAGTTTTTAAACAGATTTAATATTTATCTATTAGTTATTATGGATAATAATTCAGAAAAAGTTTACATGCTTTATACATATTGAAAATTCCAAAAAAATACACGTCGTGCTCAAGAAACTTGTGCTCTTCGTTATCCGAATAACTATTATTTTAATATAATTATTGAGATAATTTTGATAAAGATAAACAAAATAGGTAAACAGGTATTTCAAAAATTGGATTACGTAGTTATTTTTATTATGACGTATTTATTATTATTAATTGTGTATTTTATAATCTGTTATACCCGTGCAAATAACATAAAATCAAGTTGCTATAACTCGGCCAATTTTTAACTTAGAAAAGAAATTCAACTACTAAAATTCATTAAAATATACAGAAAAAATTAATTTGTGGTCAAAAATAGGTCATATCATTAAATAAAAAAAGAAGTTATTATGCGCATGCGCGAAATTAATTGTGACAAAAATAGTCTAATTATCTAAAAATGTGTATAATAATGTTTATTAGTAAGCCAAAAAAGCAGGATTGAAATATATGAAGCCTGCACAGTTATTGAGTGTTTCCACTTATCGTGATCACACTGTAAATGTATTTAAAACATGATTCATGTTTGTATAAAGTGTATGTTAAAAAAAAAAAAATAAACTAATATTTAGTTCAAGTTATAAATTATGTAGGAACAAATTTCATTTATAAATACATACTTCATTTTAAATAAAATCATATGATTCAAAATTATAATTAATAAGCTAAAGGAAACATTTATTAAGACTTAGGCTTAATTTAATATTAAGTTAAGTATATTTGTAGAATTTGAAGTATGTTTTATTTTGTTCACTAAAGGCAATTGTGAAAAATTAATTTATTCAAAACAAATCATTAAAAATAATTGATAAGTTAACTTTTTCATTCAACATGATTGTTATTCATTGTTTTTCAGTAATTGCGTTTATAAATATTTATCAAGGTGTTTATTCACGGGCTATTCCTAATTAATTTTGTTGATAGCCAATTGCTATTTATTCTAGTAATAATAGTAACCCAATACTATGTACTAGACCTATCAGTGAACTGCAAACGAATGGAAAATATTTACAGACTTACAATCATATTAATAACTATGTAATGTTATTAATATCAAATATTTGTTAGAATATGTAAATTGTAAAATTAGAAGTAATTTCAAATTGGAATAAAAATGTTTAAGTATTGTAATATTTGTGTTTCTACACATCAATGGATTTTTAATAGTTTATGTTTCATTTATACGTATAAATACACGAAAACACATTTAAAACATAATGAATATAATAAAAACATACCAGTACGTCAATAAAAAGTTAAAAATAATAAACATAAAAATATCAATATGTTAATTTTTAATTGTTATTCACATGTGTAAAACAGACATATTTTCTAATAGTTAAGAAAAATGTATAACGGGAATGCAAACAATTTTCTTAGTTATATCGTTATTTAATATCATATTATATAGCGGAACTTATTTCTGGAACAAATAAAAAATGTAAACCAATTATATTATTGAAAAATGAACATGATTAATATTTGTTTAAAAAATCAACCAATCGGGATAAAAGTCTGTGATAATAACAATGAATTCATAAGGTAAACGTAATTTTAATTGTAATTCAATTATTCTCAGCTTTGATTATTTTATTTATACTTTTATAGTTTGACATCAAACATCAACGTATGGAGTAGTACGAAACAGTTTAATGGTTGAAGATCGTCCACTGAACTTCCATTTTTCTACACAATATTATTATTCTCATTTTATAAAAATACAGTGAAACCACACAATAGGGCATGTGTTCGAACTACCCCACGTAATTTAACATAAAGCACATTCTCCCCAGTGAAGAGAAAATATCAACAGCAGTAGGCGCAGTAGATGAAGGGTGAGCTACATACAATGCGAGGGGAAACATTCTGAGCGTTCGAGCGTTTCCTTAAATACGCAGTTTGAATACTCGTATTTTACACGAGCTCAGAAAAATTATTTTCTATACAGTTTCACAAAAACAAGGAACCTATTACGCAGAATTTAAATTACACCGAATTTTAGTCGATCAGCTAAAAAGAACATGCTGAAGTCACAATTGAATGCACATCAATATTATTTTTAAGGAAAAAAATAAATGCACCTACGCATAGTACTACAAAGAGTGAGAACATTTACTTCGAGCGTTACGTTGTTTCGTTTAACGCAGTATTTCTCCATCTTATTTTATTTATTATTCCGTTTACATTAAAAAAAAGGCTATCTATCCCTTCTTCTCACATAAATAATAATAAAAAAAAACTTTAAATTTTATTTTTATGATCACCCATTAAAGTAAAATAAAAATGTATTGATTTTACACCATAAACAATTTTTACATATTAATGAGAGTATCTACCATAAATACTATTTAAAATTTCTAACTTCGAAATAATATCGTCAAAAATACATATCGTTTTATTGATTTTGTTTAAGATTTAATATTTTTTCAAATGGCTCAAAATATCTAAAGAACTGTCTGGTGAAATAAGTGATGATACCGAGTGTTCCGTATATTTGTTGTATAATGTGTTAAAATTTGACATTCTAAAAACGGTTTCAGTAGTAGGTACATGAATATACAACTATATAAGCACTAAATATTTCAAATATTGGAAACACATCAAGAAGCATAAGCTGTATTGAACACTGAAAACTAATCCGTTTAAAGTGTACGTTCTATGTCCAGAACTGTCTGTACAAAATTTTTTAAACTTTTATCACGATCTATTTTTCATCCTAAAATTCGAATAATTTTTCACGCGAACGCATTATCGTATCAGTATCGGTATTTTATCAGAAATATGATAAGAAACGCATTTCAACCGAACAGAGGCACGCGCTGTTGGTATGTTATTATGAACGAAAGTTATTGATCATTGACATTATACTCACTGTTTTGGAAAAGGTGTACGTACGCATGGTGGCGATATTGTTACAGTTTTCGAATGCAAAATGTATCGTACGGCAGCCTGGACGTGATCACGAAATAGTATGCTAAACGTGTGGTACACTTACAAACATGTATCTACATACAACACTTGTTTGCGGACGAATAAAACGGTCAATGTGTTCTTATGACAATATACGTAGTGTGTAAAAACGATAACGTGATATTCTATTTATCGTGCGCCAATAGCGCGTTGCTCTTCGGAGTGTGTTTATTTATTATTTATATTAGGTAAATATCGTACGCGAACACATGTTTAACACATTGTTATCACACCGCACGCGCTTATCTCGCGGTGCAAACAAAAAGTTATTACTTCGCAGCTAGTGCACGCGCGTTTCAGTTAAGTCTTGATAAACACGATGTATAGCAGGATGACATCTGGCCCCGCGAACCGAACCAAAGACAATGAAAGGGGTTCACATTGTGCACGGCGGCCATGGTGTAATGATGTCGAAAATAATACAATGCACGTCACGGCGGAAAAGATCGACGTCAATAATATACCTACTAATTCGTGTGTTCATTTCGAACTGGCGGATATATAGGTAATATGCGGATTACGTAATGCAGTTGAGTAGGTATAGAGCAGTTCAATCATTGCCAGTGTTTGATCTCATTGCGAAGCACGTATTGTTGTTATAATTTTTTTTTTTTTTTTTAATATTTCCATCGACGATTTTGATGATAACAACATGCATGAATTAGACACAAATGGTATTTTGTATGCGTAATTTTATGAAGAATTTTGAAACACCTATTGTTAAATTCTCTCCGCCATTCACGTTTATATTTCTTTTCGTAAAACGTATAATTTTATGTTATACGGGTTGACAATTCTACCCAATACTAAACCTCAACCACTTTACTTATAGTCAAAAAATTATAACTATTTAAAACATTTTTATTTGAGTTCGGCGACAACGTAATTGATGGGTATTTTAGTTACAATTACATATTCTTATAAACTATACAACGTTGACTCTTGTTCATGATAGTTCTTCGAAAGCGATGATAAAATGCGCATTCTAATGTACACAGATGTATAAAGTTGTAATTAATCTTACCGGGTTCATATTTTTTTTTCTGTACTTAATACTATTACTAGTACTATAGTATTTTGTCGGAAAAAGCGTAACAAATATCATTCATACAATTTTTTAATGATTACATGGTTAAACGCAGAAGATATAGAACGTGAGTACAATAAGAAGTTATTTTTCGATTTCAAATACACATTTCGAAAAACATAAAAGTTATTAATTATTATAAATTAGTAGGTAACGATTTGACTGTTGCAGTGATATGTGATCAACGGTACACAAGTAAATGCTTTCAAACTCACAATTGTTATAATGTGTCACTCACAATTAATTGGGCACTATTTTTTAATTTAATACTAAAGTGGATTCCGCCTAATATAAATGGTCAATGGTTAATACGAGCATCCGCTTATTATGGGAAAAATGGTCTGCTTCCAAATCCAATGTATACTAACAAAATAAAAAATTGCATAATATGAGCTCTTGATTCGGTTTGCGGGGGCAATATTTATTTTACCACCGCGTTAGAATATGTATAAACAACTAATACCATTGGGTTTCGTCGTATCTACGAGATTGTGTTTTTCAAAGGTAATAAAAACTTTTATTGTGAATTTTATCGAATGTATACGAGTGTTATCGAGAGCAATATAAAAAAATAAAAAATAAAATAAAACTTAAAGCTTTCTTAACTCGATAACATACATATCAATTTTATTAAACATTTCAACGTTATAGTGAGCGTTTTCGATTATCTCTGGAAAAGATCTTCCTTTGGAGTAAAAATAATTTACATATATTATATATATGTAATTACATATATTTCGATTTCTTCTGTCAGATCTTACTTATATATGTTATTAAATTAATATTGACATGTTTTTCATGGCCTCGGTACTTTTCCGTGGAAAATAATTTTTTCATGATGTACACAACATTATTACTGCGGCGTATACGGTGTAGGTTCTACAATTTTATTCGAAACTGTAGATATTTTAAATTAATGTTATTCAAATATTCATACAGCTCCCAACAATACGTGTTCTTTATAAATAAACGTCTACATGTATCTAAACATATAAAAGTAATTACACATTTTATACTATACGATTTTATGTCTTTTTAATGGATAGTAAGACCAAAAGTTCAATAATTTTAGTATAGTCATATTCACGGCGAAAGTTATTAATAATAAACGCACTTTAGAGCAAGAGCGGAATCGAAATTATTATTTTATTTTATTTTATTACGCGTGCTTCTTTTGAGAAATGCTATATTTGAGATAATATAAAAGCGTTCAAAGAGTTCACGCAATCTCATCGTATATTAAACGCAAATATGGTCTCACTTCGCAGAAAGGTTATTATATTCTACAGGGCGGCTAAGAATTACCAATTGCAGAGCAACCTGTATGAAAAATCGTACAAAAATCTTGAAAAAAATGCACGTTTTTAACCAACTCTCGACTGTTTTCGGGACAATACAATCGATTTTCGAGGGTATCGGTTGGATTACCTTAAGCCGAAGTGTATCAAAATATAAGGAGAACGGATGCACCTCTAACACACGATAGACAGTAAAATAATAACCACTTGTGTTCAATCTGTGCATATCGCTATTATTTTTATTCATATCTGTAAAAATTAAAAAACAGTAAAAAATTAAAAGTAAAAGTTCCCTACAAAAAGACTAATTCCGTATGTTTTTCTGTTACAATGAAGTAACTATAACAAGTTAGCATTATTGTTCTTCTTATCTATGTGTTTACGTGAGCTGTAATATTGCAGCTATAGGTGTGCGATGCGAATTCGCGTACCGTACCAAACTAAACAAAATCAGAAGAGAAATATTATAGTTGACAGAAAACCCCTACTAAAAACATAAGGAAGATATGATACTAAACAAACTACGCACATAACGGTATGGAATTACTAAATTATAGAAATATAATATGTATACATATGTTGCAACCTATGAATAAATATAATATAACTAATGGCTCATGGTAGTCATTTGTTCTATCAAAAAAAAAAAAAAAAAAAGAAAAGTATAATAATTACAATTTCTACCTGACTTTAATTACATTAAATAATCAAATTTATCATTTCGAACATAAACACAACCGTTACGGTTCAGTATTCAACATTTACCAAATAGTAGACGATTTAAATTTAAAAAATGATAGTTCACTACGGTTATAATTCATATCTGAAGTTTAGACTCGACTAAAAAACTGCAATGTCACTATTTTAATTATATTTACAAAACTGTTTGGAAGGGAATCCGGTTTTTGTTAAAAAATTTGCAGTGAACCATTAAAGTTATCTCTCGGATGAAACTTTCCACAAAAAACCTAATCATTCTATTTTCGCTTAATTTTGACATGGAAAATCTAATTTTATTATACTTTCAGGCCAAGCGAAAAGTATAACGATTCTCGAACAATTAAGCGCTCCTACAGATACGATCGTGCACGATCCAATACGCTATTAAAATAGATACATGGTCTGAACTATAACCTTACAAAATAATTACCGTACTCTCGTATGCAATGGTATAATCGTACGAGCCTATGTTTATTATTCTTATTTATGGTTAACGCAGATAAAAAATAAACGTTTCGTTTGAAATTAATATGATGAGGGGAAGTATTGTATTATTATTATTATTATTATTATTATTATTATTATTATTATATCGCCAACCAGAGTGCCTAGGGGTGGCGAACCTTTCTGTATTCGCATGTCAAATAAAACTAGAATTTATTTTTCCAGCATGTCAACTAATTCGTTGACAATTTTTTTTAACTTATATTATGGTTGAGAACTACCCATTTGCGCGAAAACAAATTAATTCATTTGGGGTACAGCCTATTTGTGCCAAATTTACCTGTAGAAATATTTTTACGTTAATAACTCGATTTAATTCATATAGACACAACGTTCGTTATAAGTTATAACACTTAAGTAAGTTTTTACTCATAATACATTTACAACTTACTATAGTATATAGTATACTATATACTTTAGTTATAACTCATAATACAGTTATATATATAAAATTATTGCGTAGACAGACTGAAAACAAGTTATATATCAGTTTTATTATGTTGTAAAATGTACAATCCGATATCGTTATTCATTAAATCATTGAATAAGAACGAACACTGTGATTTGATCAGACATTCATTACACTGCATTATATACCTACCACATATTCTCAGCTGTATTTTGTTTAATTTATTTATTTATTTGTTTATTTTATTTAATTACTATAATTAAGAAAAATGGAGTTTACGATAAGCAAAAGAGGGAAATAAATGGTTGCAGACAAGGGCCATAAGTATATATTGTAATATACTTCTTCTAAAAGTATTGAACGGTGGTGATGTTCAAATAAAAAATGTACAGCAAAAATATGTCACTGTTGTTAACTATATATAACACCGTAAAATCTGTATCGCCATTATCATAAATTATAGGCTGTCGTTTTCACTTGACTCAAGCTTGATATAGAAAAATTCAAGGACTAGGATTAACTTTAGCATATAAAGATAACAAGTGGTTAAAATTTACTTTTGATTTAGCTTTTCTGAATCCCAATGACGTTTCCGATTGTTTTGTTGATGATGTTATATCTGAAATTCCCGTTGATACAAAATGTCAACGATGTGTAGATTATTTAGATGTAAATTACCTTAGAGAAAATGCTAATTTCTCTCCAAACACTTGGGCTGCATTTGCAACTGATTTAACTAGATCAACCAATAACTGAATCTTTCCATGCACACTTTAATGAACAGTTTTATAAATCACATCCTAATATTTTCACATTTTTAGAATTTTTTCAAAATAGTTCAAACATATGTATATATTAAAATTAAAAGCAGTGTTAAAAATATTCCTAACCTTCCAAAAAATCCTCAGGTTAAAACGTGATTGAAAAAAAACTTTAAAAGCAATTGATAAATATAAAAACAAAAAAATAACGCGTTATGAATATGTACAAATAGTTACATTTAATTATAATGCAAATTAAGACTATGATTTAAAAAAGAAATTGTATATTTGATTATTATATTTGAAAAAAAAAATCGTGGAAGCATATTTTAATATAATAGCCTATCAATAAAAAAAAAACTACGTACCTGATAATCATAATTATTAATATAAAATTTTAATATTGACTATGATTTTAAAAAATGTGTTTTATAAATATTTTAATGTTAACATTAAAAATTAAAAATGTTTTATTATGGTATAAAATTTTTTA